CGTTGGTGTTGACTGTCACAGGTGTTACGTAACCATCGTCGGCGAAACGGTAGAAGATTTCGGCGTTGTTACTGTCGCGAGGATTATCCTCATCCATGGGCACGTCGACGGAGCAGTATGGGAGAGGTCCGGCTTCTTCCGAGGCGTTGTCGACGTTCTGTTCATCCCAGTCTGCTTCGTCCGCTGCTGACGCGAAGGCTCGGTCACCACGAAAACCACTGGTGAGGTCCCGATTCTCGTGCAAGTTGGCGAGGTACGTCTGAAGGGTGAGTCTTTCGTAGAAGATCACGTCACGTGCTGCTACTGTTTCCTTTGTGTGGACGTCGAAGATTCTCCATGCGTTGTAATTTTTCTCGATGCCGAGGTGTAGTCCCCACTGTGCCCGTTGCGAAAATCTTCCCGCTCGTGCTTCTGGGGGTCTGTACTGTACCATGCACCCGAAAACTCGTAACATTTTCGTGCTGCCCTGCTTCCCTGTCCACAGTAGATGCGGTGATGCGTTGTTCGGGAGTGACGACGACGACAACAAGTTGTGCAGCATGACAGCGTGGTCCATTGCTGCTGGCCACTGGTGGTTGGGTAGCCGCATGCCACGTAACAGTTTGCGCATGCTGTTCTGCAGGGTCCTGTTCAGTCGTTCTGCAACACCTTGCTGCTGATGTGCGTAGGGAAGGGAGAGGAGTTGCTTGATCCCCCTTTCCGCCAAGAACTGCTTGAAGCGCTGAGAGGTGTACTCGCCACCTCCGTCTGACTGGAAACTTTTCAGTTGTGTTCCAGACTCTCTCTCTGCTATCGGTAGCCAGGCGGCGAATGCTGCGAGCGCCATGTCGCGGCTGGGTAGGTTGCGATGCCAGACGTATCGAGTGGCGGCGTCGATGAAGGTGATGGTGTAGTTGTAGTTGACTTGTCCTGGTTCGCGATTGTAGAGGATGTCGCTGTAGACTTTTTCAAGTGGTGCGTACGCTGGAGCGCTCGGGTTGTGATGTGAAGCAAACGGTCGATGAGGTAAGTCAGCTTCGGGACATATAAGGCAAGTCCCTCGTGCCTTCTGGAGTTCTCTGCCATCGGGTAGAAGTAGAGAGTCTTTGTCAAGGACTCCTGCTCTTATCGTGTTATTCAAAACCGTGTTGCTTGGATGTCCTGTGCGTGCGTGCCAGATCTCTTCAGAGGCGCGGTGTCCGGGTGAACGCTGATATGCGTCGGAGTTGGAGTAAAAGCTGGCGACGAGGTTGGCGCTTCGGTGGACTTCACGTTGAGTCGGATTCAGCTGTTACGCGGGTGTTGGTGGTGCTTCGTCGACTCTGACTGGTGTCGTTGTTCCTGCTGCTGCTGATGTTGTTGCTGCTGCCGATGTTGTTGCTGCTGCCGATGTTGTCGCTGCTGCCGATGTTGTCGCTGCTGCCGATGTTGTCGTCTCTGCTGATGTTGTCGCTGCTGCCGATGTTGTCGTCTCTCCTTCTTGTTGAATCGTTGCTAACGCTCTTGTTCGTTCTGCTTCAGGGATAGTGTGGGAGTACCAAAAACCTCCCGGGCTGAAGTCGGGGTCGAGATCCGGAGGGTGTGTCCAATCAGCAAAGTTCACAATGGCGTCGCTGTCTGCAGTGCCGAGGTCGGGAGCGAAGTCGAGGACGAAGACGTTGTTCTTCAGCACTGCTTTCCCGATGTAGAGACCGCCTCTCCCGTGGTAAAGCTTGAACTCCTGGGTCGTGCTGTCGGCTTCCAGATGAATTCCTTTCGCCATCAACTGGCTAACGCTCAGTAAGTTGTAGCCGAGTCCTTTAGCGATGAGTACCTTAGACATGTGTAGTATGACATTTGTTTCTCTTGACTGAAGCTGTACCACTCCTTGTCTTCGTGTGCGCAGGTTTTGGTTGTTGGCAACCGTGATGATCACTTCCCGTTGGAGTCGATGTTCGCGTTGTACGAAACGCCCGGACGAGCACATGTGTTGCCCGCAGCAACTGTCCAAGAACCAGGTGTCTTGGCCGGACGGTTCACTTTGAGCGATAGCGGCGTAAGTTGGATTTGGATGGAGTGATTCGCGACGAGGCGTCCTGTTGTCGAGCTCCTCTTCCGGTGAGTAATGGGGTGGTGACTCTGTTATGCAGGAGTCGTTTATCTTGACCATGCAGTTGACTATATGTCTTGCTCCTTGTGCAGGTTGTCCAGTTGAGGTCGTTGAAGCTTGAATCGTGGTTGTCGAGCTTGCTTGTGTCAAAGCAACTTGGGTGCTTGAAGGCCGCAGTTGTCGCTGTGGTGTTGTCTGTCGAGACGGGCAGTGCGTGCGTGGGTGTCCTAATGTCTTGCAGATGTGACAAAATGGAGGTACTAGCTTCGGCTGCTGCTTTCGATTGTTGTAGTTGTTGTGTCGTCGCTGAGTATGGAAAGCAAACTCCGGTGCTAATGTCCTTTTCTTGTGTCTTTCTTCTTGCAGGTCCATATCCTGCTGCTCGGCGTGAATTTCTGCGCAAAGTGCCGCTTCGGAGATCCTCCCGTGTGCTCGAAGAATTGCTTTGGTGGCGCGCCACTGAGGACCGAGGCCACCGATGACGACTGTTACGAAGGCGTCTTCAGAGATTGACCCTCCACATCGAAGAAGCTTGTCGCGCAATTCGCGACATCGGCTGATATACGCCAACCCTTTTTCTCCTGGTTTCATTTCAACTGTTGTCAGCTGCGCCATTAACCTGCTCTGGTTTACACTGTCTGTTGCCTGGTACAGGTTCTTCAGATGGTCGTACGCGAGTTCCGCCGAGTTGCCGAAGTTCCGGTAAGAGCGAATGTTCTGCTGCTGGGTTGGTGTGATGTTTCTCAGTAGAATAGTATACGCCATCATGGATTGATACGTATACTGCTGCTTTTCATACTGTGTCCCGTTTGCTGGATACTGCAGGGATCCGTCGAAGAAGCCGAGTATCTGCGCGCCCTCCATCATCAACTCGAATTCAAAGGACCAGGTAAAGAAGTCCTTTCCGTCGAAAGGTCTTGACGTCTGTAGTTTCAGAACATGCGCGAACTGCGACTGTACTTGTAAGGCATCCATTGGTTTGTCTTTCGCAGGTGGAGGTTGAGGCAGGAAGCTGATCGACCCGCGTTCGTACGGGGCGAAGGTGGGTTGCTGCTGTTGATTCCCTCGCGCGTATGACGACCCGTCAAGGCTCATGGGTGCCGCTCCGTTGTTGCTGTTGTGTGTCTGTGCAGATCCCGACTGCTGGTGTTGCTCGTAGAAGGACATGAAGGAGAAGAATTTCTCCATCATGTTCTGGTCGAAGTCAGAAGGATGGTTCGTAGGAGTCTCGGTTGAAGTTCCCCTTGGTCTTGCTGCCGTGCCTTCCTCTGTCTGCAGGCCAGAGGCTGGTGGTGGAGTAGGAATAGTGCCCGAGGAGTCATTAGGAGAGCTCCTTTCCTTGTTTGTTGCCATGTCTTGAAATGATTTTGAAAAGAGTTAGAGTTTTCCCCTGTCCGCTCTCATACCATGTTGGGCTGAAAAATAGCCCTTAGGATCTTTGCAGAGGAGAACTCTTGGGTAGAAACTTGTAATAGCGGAAGCGTTTTAATGAGGATTGTGAACCGACCTTGCACTGGTGTGTGAGAGCAAAGTAGATTGAATTAAACAAGCAAATACAAGGATTTATATAAGAGTACAGGGAATACGAATAGATAGATAGATAACTGTATTGCTGTTGCGGTTCGATATAGTGCGACTCGGGCAACTGCTCTGTAACGAGTCAGTTGTGTGTCCTTAACTGTCGCGCTGTAATTGTCGAGTCAAAGGTCAGCGACCTTTGACTTTCTCGTAACCTCCAGGCGGTTACCCTAACCTCCGAGGTTGACTCGATGCTTCGATTGGGACTGCTTCGCTTGGTGCCTTGGATTTTGATACGACAGAAGCGCACTTAGGACTTATTGTTTCCAACATTAATAACAAGTGTTGAACCACCTTGCGCTAGTATGTGAGGGCAAGATAGATTAATTATAAGAAAGTAATACAGGCCTTTTATAAGATTACAAGGAATATGAAAGGGTGTAACTAATAACCGTATTACTGTTGCTGTTGCGGTTCGATACAGTCATGACTTGGCCAACTGCTCAGTATCGAGTCAGTTGTTTGTCCTTGCTGTCGTGCTGTATTTGTCAAGTTAAAGGTCAGCGACATTTGACCTACGCGTAACCTCCAGCAGTTACGTTTTCTGTCAACCTCCGATGGTTGACTCGCCGTTGCTTCGTTGTAGTTCGCTTCGCTTGCAGTTCAGTGTTTCGACACATCAGAAGTGTTGAAGTCACTTTGTTTCCAACAATGGTTACTGATAGGAGCGATAGATTAGATCGATAGCGTTAGATCAGATCAGCCACATACTATTTATTGTAACACCTCATCGCGGTGTTAGGGTGAACGCTAGAGGCTTGTCCTCTAGCGGCCAAGAGGGGTCCATTCAAGATTGAAGTTCCAAGGTCCAAGATTGAAAACTTTACTGTAGATCTAGAATTTCCTGAAGATGCGATGTATTTTCATTATATGACTTCAGTATACTATTTAATAGAGTTTTGGCTCAGTTGACGCAAATGCGACTTCGAGAGCATTCGTGGTTGATGAAGTACGGTACTGTACACGAAACAAAACCAGAAATCTTCAGTCAGGGGGTTTGGCATGGTAGGGTAATGAAGAAAGTAGCCCAAGACCTGAATTGCTCAACGCAAGTCAACGCGGGGCAAAACTGTGGGCTGCGGGAGGCAAACTGTGCACAGTTTGCCTTCGTTATTTGTATTTCGGGTCTTGGGCTGGTCATGGTTAATTCAAGCAGTGCAGTGAGCTGTAGCAACTAACTCCTGCAATTCTTGCAGATTCTCTATCAGGAAGCAGGAAGGTTTTCAAGTCAAAATGTCATACAAAAGCCAATAGCTGTCACCTTCCTTCTGATTCATAACAATTTCAGAAGCTTCAAATCAGAATTTGTTTGCGAGCCCGTTCCCTAACCCTAATCCCCTAATCTCCTACCCTGTCATTGCATATAATTCGGCGGCAGCACCGGGTGCGACGGGCTTTTATACAGCGATGGGTGGACGAATGGGATGAGAGCAAGAGTGATAGCATGCTCGTAGTACGTCTGACGTGTGATCTCCCCATTGGTCAGATACCCCACTGTGCCCCCTCGGGATTTGCTGCCCTCTTGCCTGAAAGCCTCATCTGTTGCTTCTCCCAGCTCCATGCCCCCTGCAGGGTGCCAATAACGAGGGTGATAGAAACGAGGAAGGGGTAATAAGGACGGCAGTGGTAAAGAGGAGCCGATTGAACTAGCATGGTGCAGGGAAGCAGGTATGGTTGAATGGGATGGCGAGCACCTTGTGAATAGTTCCTGAACTCACTCTGCAGACTCACCAACTCTGCAGACTCACCAACTCTGCAGACTCACCAACTCTGCAGACTCACCAACTCTGCAGACTCACCAACTCTGCAGACTCACCAACTCTGCAGACTCACCAACTCTGCAGACTCACCAACTCTGCAGACTCACCAACTCTGCAGACTCACCAACTCTGCAGACTCACCAACTCTGCAGACTCACCAACTCTGCAGACTCACCAACTCTGCAGACTCACCAACTCTGCAGACTCACCAACTCTGCAGACTCACCAACTCTGCAGACTCACCAACTCTGCAGACTCACCAACTCTGCAGACTCACCAACTCTGCAGACTCACCAACTCTGCAGACTCACCTACTCTGCAGACTCACCAACTCTGCAGACTTACCAACTCTGCAGACTCACCAACTCTGCAGACTCACCAACTCTGCAGACTCACCAACTCTGCAGACTCACCAACTCTGCAGACTCACCAACTCTGCAGACTCACCAACTCTGCAGACTCACCAACTCTGCAGACTCACCAACTCTGCAGACTCACCAACTCTGCAGACTCACCAACTCTGCAGACTCACCAACTCTGCAGACTCACCAACTCTGCAGACTCACCAACTCTGCAGACTCACCAACTCTGCAGACTCTCAAACTCTGCAGAATCACCAACTCTGCAGACTCTCAAACTCTGCAGACTCACCAACTCTGCAGACTCACCAACTCTGCAGAATCACCAACTCTGCAGACTCACCAACTCTGCAGACTTTCGAACTCTGCAGAATCACCAACTCTGCAGAATCACCAACTCTGCAGACTCACCAACTCTGCACCAGAACCCCAATGCCCCCTCTACCACACAGAGCTCACACCCAACCCACACGGTCCGCACCCTTCCCTCGTGACCCACTTCCCCCATACTTTCCCCTTACCCTTCTGCCCATACTTTCCAGTTCCATAATTCCCCGTCCATACTTTCCCCCTACCCTTCCGCCCGCCTGTACTAGAATGTCCATTGTTTCTTTTTCTCTTCCCTCAGTAACCCTATTCTCGCCTCCCACCTTCTCCCTCACCCCCTTACCCCGCCTCCCCAGCCACTCTTTTCCCTTCCCCTCCTGCACGTTCCCACTTCCCCCCTTCCCCACAACAATCCCCTCCTCCCCACTCCCCCCCACCTTGCACCAGTTCCACCAGTGGTGGCGGAAGCATGAACGCGGCCGTCCGCGCTCTCGTCTCCCCCGAAATCGCGTTCCCTCCGCCTCCCGCTAAGCTTCCCCGGTTTACTCCCCCAAGCGCCGCGCCTCCTCTCCTCCCCGCCAACCCTTCCCCGCCCCCGCCCCCGCCCCCTGTCGCTTCCCCCACTCCCCTCCCCTGCTGCTGTCTCCCGTTCCCCGCTCCAGGAGCCGCGCCTCCGCCCTCCCCGCTTCCGCCGACAACCGCGCCGTCAGCTTCCGCCTCGTCTTCCGCGCGCGCGGACGTGGAGAGTACGACAGCCCATGCGAAGCACATGAGTTGCGGGGGATCGGAGAACCGGCACCACTCCACACCCCCTTCGATCGCAACAACGAAATCCGCGCCTTCCGCCGCGCTGCTGCGCGCCACGTGCAGCAGGCGGTTCCGCGCGCCCGCGAGAGTCTCCGCGTCGCCCATCGGCTGGTCCGAGACGCCCGAGTCGGCCGGAAAGCCCTCTAATTCGAACGACTCGTGGGGAAACAGCCGCCGGAGCGCCTCCCCTGCGGCGTTAATCTTCACGGGGTTCCTAGAAGCTACGACCACGCGCCGCCTACTATTCCACGCGTCGTCGGAACTATTCTCCCCGCACGTCGCGATCTCCGCGCGCCCATCCCCGCGGAATGCTTGCGCTTGCGCGCGGTTCCTTCCGCCCGGGGAGTGGTGCGGCTGCAGCGATACGCGTGCGGAGGACTGGTGATGCGCCGCGACGCGGGACGGAAGTATGGCCTCGTAGGTCATTAAGTGGGAGCGCGTGGGGTGACTGCTGGTTCTGAGGCGTGTCAAAATTAGATCGGCGTGAGGGTGACTACAACGTGCTTGCTCCGGCGAAGGCGGCGGGTCGATCAGGGTTCCGTTGTCTGAGTTAATTCGTTATTGGCACAACATCGTGCGCTAAACTTCCATGCGATGAACCAAGCCTTCAAACCAGACACGTCTCGAGAAAAAAAAGGAAAACAATCTATCACGCGAAGCTAAAAAACCGTCACCGCTGTTCGCGCTTCAGAAATGGCTAGCAGCTGGGGCTGTGTGCGACAAAACCGAGCTGGTCAACTCACGAGGGGGGTACGTGCGACGGAGCTTTTCTGACAGTTGGTTGGGGGCGATGAGAGCACAAGGTGTCGCAGAATTACAAAGTTATGTCGCAGCGCGGGTGCGTCGCACGGAGGGTGTCGCACAATGACGGGCTGGGCGGTTTTGGCGCAAAGCCCCATGTGAGAGGGGATGCGAGGAGGTGACGTGGAAAATAATTTGCTACAGTGATTATAAACGATTTTGCACTAGAAATTTGATGCTCCCTGTACTGCGGTAAATAGAAATGAGCTGGCTGATTGAGATTCAAAGTATACCTTGACTTGTAAAAAGATATCAAGCAAAGATATACATAACAGTTCAAATTTTTATCACACCATCCACTCATGAAGCTCTCCTCTGCATAGCCTGTAAGATCTCCTGCAAATCTTCATCGTCATCGTCATCATCTGACATGGCACTCTCTTCCGCAACCTTGTCCCTCCCTCTTCCCATACCTACCACCCCTCTTCCTTTACCACTCCTCATGCCAACCCCTCCTGAACCGTCCATCATCTGACTTCTACCTTCACTCGCCCCACACTTCACATCCTGAACCTGATCACTTTCACCAAATAAATCCCCATCCCCCATCCCCACTCCAGCACCCACCCCTACCCCCTCATCCTCATCCTCATCATCAGAATCACCATCTTCCACCACTAGAGCTGTCACTGTTGACGCTCCTGCTGCGATTGCCACAGGAACCGCCAATGCTGCAGATGAAACTGGCACCGCTGCCTTTGCTGCCCCTCCTCCATCGAATCGGCTATGCCCCACACTTCCCCTCCCTGCACCCCCCCCTCCTCCGCCTCCTGACTGTCTCGAGTAACTTTCCACGCTTCTTGTTCTGGATAGCTTCTGCTCTTGCGCTTTGATGTGCGCCACTGCTGCAATTGCCGCGCCACCAGGAGAAACACCAGTACCAGCAGCACCTGCACCAACACCTGCACCGGCAGCGACAGACGCGCCGCAGCCGCTGAAGGTTCTGCCGAGCCGTTTGGGCAGTTCGGAAACATTCTCTGAGGGCCCAAATAGGTCCTCATCCACTGCTGTTCCACCTGCGGCAGCAACACTGCTGCTACCAACACCAACTCCAGCTCCGGCGGGAGCAGCAGCAGCAACAGCAGCGTCATCATCGTCATCATCAGAGTCTCCATTATCCGCCCCAAACAAATCCTCGTCCACTGCCCCGCCCTCCCCACCCATTGATCCAAACAAATCCGCATCAACCCCCATGCCCTCCCCTCCCCCCACCGCACCCGCCTCCTTGCAGCTCCCCCCTCTCCTCCCCTCCTCCAGACCCCGTTTTCCCCCAGGCAGCGGGGGGCTGCCCCCACTCCCGTCCCTCCCCCCTCCCACCCCGTGCATGCCCTTATCCGAGTGGCACCTAGCAGGAGCTCTTAAAGCGTTGTGAAGCATCTCTGCTTGGCGACTGGAGAGAGAGTGGCAACCCATACCACCCGGACCTCCACCCGCTCCCGGACCTAGTCCCGAACCAGCCTGACTGTTACTGCCGGTGGTGGTGGAATGGAAAGGCGAGGGGGACGAGGCACACGCGCCACTGCTACCGCCAGTGCCAGCGCCGGCAGCGACAAGGTGGGCCCTGACTGTGTCTCCTGATCTGCTCCTTAGTAAAGGCGGCTTCACAGCTTCTTCTATCAGCATTGCTGCTTTCCCCACCGCTGCTACTGGGCTGCTATGCCCGCCGTGCGCGCTGTGTCCCCCGGCCTTGCTTGCTACAGCCGCTGCTGCTGCAGCTGACATCCCTCCTTTCGCTGAGTGACCCCCTACCCCACCTGCGCCCAATGCTGCCCCCCCAACACCCCCGCTTTTGCTACCATGCGCGGAAGGGACAGGAGGAGGCCCGCCCCTGCTTCTTCCCCCTAACCCCCCTGGTCCAGGCTTCGTTTCCCCCCCACTTCCGCCTGCGCCGCCACCCCCTGCTCCCGATCCTACCCCGCAGCCTCCCCCGCTTGCTCCGCTTCCGCTGCCGCTATTCCCGCTACCTCCCACTAGCAGTGCCCCCTCGTTTCGTCCACGTGACTTTGACTTGGTTAGCTGCTTGTACTGTGAAAGAAATTCTTCGTCCGAGTCACTACCTTCTCCGTCCTCCGCGCCTTCCTCCCCCGCGCCGTGACCTGCCTTCGGCGGAGATCCGCCGCTTCCCGCTACACCTCCACCTGCCGCGGATTTTCCCCCCAGCGGAGCAGCCAGCGGAGTGGGCGAGCCCGGGTCATGCGGGGGCGCATCCACTTCACCGCCGGCGCCACCGCCAGCAACCGGCGCAGCGAGCGGAGTGGGAGATCCAGGATCATGCGGGGAAGCTTCCGTTACTGCCGCTGTGGAAATTGGAGTTGGCGTGCGCGCAACAGGCGCAGCAAGGGGAGTCGGGGATCCAGGATCGACCGCCTGCGCGGGCGCACCAGCGGAAGCACCCCCAGATGAACTCCGCGGAGCCGCAAGAGGCGCTGCTAGCGGAGTAGGCGAGCCGGGGTCATGCGGTGGAATCTCCGCAGACCCGCCTCCTGCTTCTAGCGCGGACGCCGTAGGCGCGGAAACCGGCGCGCCGAGAGGAGCAGCGAGCGGAGTGGGGGAGGGGAGGTCAAAGTCGGAAGCCGCCGGTTCCGCCAACCCAACACCGGTTTGCACGGTCAGTTGCTTCTTGGGACCACCCGAGGCGCCTCCCATCGGCACCCCGTCTTTAGAATGAGAGTTCATGCTGCGTGTATTGGGATGCGCCTTGGAATGTGGAGCGTGAGTATGCGGCCTGGAGTGATTAGTGCTTGTAGGAGCAACAGTAGTAGTGCCAAGACAAGTATTATGACCATGACCGTGACTCCCGTCTGTAACGCGACGATCGGGACCGCCGCTTTCCTCACCCATACCCCGAGCCTGCTGCGTAGGTCTGGCACCGTGCCTACCTCCAGGTCCGACGGCGCGAGGCTCGGCGTGCATCGGGCCGCCTCGACCTCGACCCCTCCCGCGTGCTCCGCCGCAATCCTCGGTGGCGACGTGTCCATCGCGCCTCGGAGCTGGTTTCGGAGCGGTTACTCGTTGACCCCGCCGAGCCTGGCTATTGCCGGACGGGGTATCAGGATAAAGCTCCTCTTCCGCCGATGCTGTAGAAAATCGGTTATTTGAGGAGGAGATTGGAGTGGCTACTGGAGCATCGTCGTCAATAATTGGATGCTGGTCGGTTTGAGAGAGGTTTGCCGGTCGTCGGTACGTGGATGCTGAACCAGCAACCACGGGAGAGCCATTGGCGACGGCCGGCTTTCGGCAAGACGGATTTGGGGATCCGAGATGTGCTGTTCTGTTAGGATTCATGACGACTAACGCGGAATACTAGCGAGTGAACAGATAAATAGGCGGTAGTACCTAGTCCATCAAGGTTAGTGATTGAATATAAGAAATCTACGACATATTTCAGTCATCGTGACTCACAGTATTTACTAGCTGATCTAGGAGATGCATTCTTAAGCCTCTAAGAGCTAGCGGTTCAGTCAGGCAGCCCCAAGGCTCATAGCGGCAGGTGAGAATGGTGACGTGGCGAGCTATGTACAAACCTTGGCCAGTACAGTTGCACAGTTCACCACCAAACCCAACCAACCACCCCCTGAATAGATAAGGTTCTGACGGTAACTGACTTTCTGACGGACACTGATTTACGCTAGCAGTACAGTAAACTGACTGAGTGCACTACCCGGCACGGGAGGGGAAGGGAACTTCGTCCCCAAGCCTCGTCCATTCGTCAGTTCACTTGCAAATTGGTTTCGCGTTGCCCGTGGCTGCATCAAGCGGAACGAGCCGAGTTGGTTGGGAAAATATTGACGCCGGTAGTCTCGGCTTGGGAGCTGATTCGGTAACTAGCCTTGCGGCATGGGTGTGGAGGTTTCTGGTGGGATAGTCGGCAATCGAGAAGTAACCTAGGACGACAAATAGATTCGCTCAACACACTTTCAGCAAGTTTGTGACTAAGGGAATCTGAGATCAGCAAGTTTTGCTTTGCATAGTAGTCAGCTTCTCACCCATCACATGAAAAATGCCTGAATACATGGAGGAAGTAACGTTGTATACCTGAAGTAACGAGTTGTTAGATCTACATCAAAAGAAAGTCAGAAGATATGAAGTCAATGTTGGAGCTGAAGCTCACTCTCCTCCTATGCGTTGGCCTCGTTGCCTTAGGTGTACAGCTCGTGGGATTAGAGGATTCTGTTCCCTCGGAAAAAATGTGGAGTGGAGTTAGCTCCGGGCTCCATGATTGGCGGTCCGGCCATATCTAAGCTAGTTGTCCGCCACATTTGTTCACCAAAACGCGCTCTGAGTGCTGCCTCACCACAATGTTCAACTTGTGACCTATGCAGCCGCTGATGCTGCTGATGCTGCTGCTGTGGCTGCTGGTACTGCTGCTGTGTTTTGATTGTACAAACCTCCCGACACGGCTGCTCCCTCAAATAGAGCCCCCCTTGTCCTGTCCCTCTTGCCTTAACCCTCGCCTCCTGCATTTCCTCGTCCCCCCCTGGCCCTTGCTCCTCCTGAACCACCACCTCCTCCATTCTCTGCCATTCCTTCGCCTGCACAGCCCCGTGCTGCTTCACCTGCTCCTGCTGCAGCAGGTGCTCCGTTTGTAGCTGCTTCAGTTGCTCCTGTAGAGCATCCACCTGCGCCTGTAGCTCCTCATTTGACAGGTTTCGCCTGCGCCTGAGCGTCTGCTCCGTGCCCTGTGCCCTCCTCTGCTGCTGCTGCGGTTGCTGCTGCTGATGCACAGGTGGCGAGTCAATAATGCTTTCATCCTGCTGGTGCTGCTGCTGGTGCTGGTGCTGCTGGTGCTGGTGCTGCTGGTGCTGGTGCTGCTGGTGAGGCTGCTGGTGCTGCTGGTGCTGGTGCTGCTGGTGCTGGTGCTGCTGGTGGTGCTGGTGCTGCTGCTGGTGCTGCTGCTGCTGCTGCTGCTGCTGCTGCCGTTGCTGCTGCTGCTGTTGCCGCCGCCACCACAGCCGCACATACTCTCCACGCGTCACCTCCAGCCCTGCACGGCTCTCCTCCTCTCTCCGCTGCTCCCCTCTCTCACCCATCACCTTCACCACTGGGCTACGCTGCATCATCTTTTCCCCACCCTGGATTCCTTTGGAATCCGCAGACGTGACCAGCTCCTGCTGCCGCATTGGCTGCTGCTGCTGGGGCTGCTGGCGCGAGATTCGTGGCGAGGCAAGCACTCCATTGGAGGGAGAGGAGGGCACAGCAGCCATGGCACCATCACCACTCGCCCACTGGTGCTCGCTCCCACCGGGATGTGAGACCACGCGGGGCGACGGCAGCGATTTTTGGGGCGTCAGTGGGGAATTTTGCGTCGAGTCAGAAATCGGCCACTGGCGCTCGCTCCGACTAGGCTTGGAGTGTGAGTCTGTGCGCGGCGACTGCAGCGACTTTTGGGGCGCCAGTGGCCACTTTTGACCCGACTCTGAACCCTGCCACTGGCGTTCGCTGGCCCATGCGCGCTCCGCATCTAGGTCCATGGAGCGCGACGCCCTGCGCCGGGGGGTTACCGCGCATGCGCCTTCCGCGTCGTCCGCGCGCGACTCGTCGCCCATGACCTCTGCGTCCTCCGGAACGCTGCGAATGGGAAATTGGTCAGAAAACCTCCGCGCGCGCGCGCCGCGCGCTTCCGCTGCTTGCTGTGATTTCCCGGCCGCGCTTCTTCCGAGCAGCGCGCGGCTGCCTCTCCCACTGACCACGCTGGCGCGCGTGCAGAGCGCGCTGTTGGCGGCGGCGAGCGCTGCGGCGGCGGCGGCGCGCTGCTTGGCGGCGACCCCGTAGAGCTGCACAAACTCGTCGTCGGAATCGGAGGAATCAGAGTCGGACGATTCGCCTTTCAACGCGGAACGTTGTTCCTGCGAGGCCGAAGCGGTTCCCGCGTGCGACGTGGCTGGAAGCCGGGCGAGCTCTGTTTGACAATGCTCGACCGCCGCGGCCGCCTGCCCGGCGCGCGACTTGTCCGCGGCCGCGCTTTGCGGAACACTTTGAAAGCAGCTCGAGGACCGGCTTCGCGGAAACGACACTCTGGCTTGGAAATGCGGCGTGGAATCGTGACTCTGACAATCTCTGCCCGGCTTCGATCGAATTGCTAACGACCCAGCGGCGGAATTAGCGCGTTTGGGAATGTCGTCATCAGGCATGTTTATAGGGCTTTGAGAAGTAGCAGCAGCAGCAGCAGCAGCAGCAGCAGCAGTGGCAGCAGGAGCGGCTCCGGCGCGGGGTGAAGGCGCCCCGCCAGAACGCGGCTTGAGGCTCCCGCAACCCACGGCATTACTAGTAGAGCTGGCATAAGCATCATTGCCGCCGTAAGACGCGCTTCTGAACATCCTACTCCCCTGCGGCGGCGCAACGGCACCCAACGGCCTTGGTGAGAGCGCGACACGGGGAGCGGTTCCGCCTTGGTCGCGCCGCACGACCACGACCTCCTTCCGCTGCAAAGGCGGCGGGTTGGAGCTCCCGCCCGAGCTTCCGCCGGAGTCGCTTCCGCAGGAGCCGCTTCCACCGGAGCTCCCGCCACTCGTCGGAGGATTGTTTCTGGCGCGGGGATGCGGACCCGAGCTCCCGCCGCCGCGCTCGTGCCAGCCGTTTCCGCTAGCAGCGGCGGCGGCGGAAATAGCGCCGTTACTGATGGAGTGGCTGCGGGGAAGACGCGACACGGCGTGGCCCTCCTGCGGACCGCAGTGCCACGCGGTGTGGTTCGGCGCGGGAGGCGCGGAGACGGGGCCGGGGGAATACATGACCGCGGCGGAGGCGGAGCGCGGGGATGGGGAGAAGGGGGAGGCGGAAGAACCGCAGAAGATATCGGGGCTGGCGGAGGAAGAGGAAGCGGCGGAAAGCGGCGGGGAGAATGGATTGCTCGGGGAAGGGCCGCAACTGACGGAATCGCTTCTGGTGTTACTACTGTGGCAACCGTTGACCTTGGTAAAATCCGGGAGCGACGGCGTTCTAAGTGTGATGCTTAGCGGTCGAGACGGACGTCGACGAGGAAGGAAAGCCGAGGAGCCGGCGTGTTTGACGGAAAGACTACTATCGCCGCCGCCGCCGTTGCTTCCACCGCCCCCGCCGCCCCTCCCACTGCGACCGGCGGGAGAAGGAGACTTCGAGGACGGGCTTCCTTGGAAATTTGGATTCACATCGCTGCGGGGGCTCCTCGAAGCGCCGCGAGGAGACGGGCTGCTCGCGGAAAAGTCGGCCATTATAGTTCCTCCTCCGCCGCGGCTCGTCAAGTTTCCTAGCCGCTGTAGCGGCTGATGTATCGCTAGTGTAGCTGCAAATCGCGATGGAATGGAATAGATGGAGGCCCTTGAACTCGGAGATTCGACGGCTCCTCTATTCTCCTTGCAGCGATGAATGGACGGAACCTGTTTCGATGGACAATCTATTCTCCTTGACGCGATGAATGGACGGACACTGTTTTAACGGACAAGCTATTCTCCGACATCAGTTTTCAGAAAGGAGAGCATGTCATCGCGCAGGCGAAGACAATCCTGCCGCAAGGGTATGCCGCTAGCTGGCAGGCGCGTGTTGTTTGTGGCTCGAAGGGTACTTAGCGAGCTGAGCCACCAAGCGTTCATGGCTGGAAAATCATTTATGTGACGCTGGTAAAATGCGGCATTGCGAATGATCTGCAATTGTTTTTTTTTCCTGGCAGAGCGGCGTCCACGATGCGCTAGTCCGACGATTCTGTACTGTACACGTATTATCCTGCGTATCGCGAAAGCCTGATGCCTTTGCGGTCACGTGCATGCACATTGCGCACATTAGCGGTTATTGGATCTGTACAAATGATGCTCGTTTGGCGCACCCAACTTTGCCTTGTGCTTTGGGCTCATAACTGGTTTTTACGTTTCGCTAAGATTTCGTCGATTCGCACTAACAAAATGGGCTTATAAAAAGCAGGTGTAACTCATCGTTGACTTTTTGACTTCAGTCTTCTCAGTCAAACCTCGGTTTCTGTTGTTAGTATTGGCTGGTTTAGGTGGCAACTTGTTCGAGGTGCTTGTAAATGGGGTGCAGCTTGACAGCACAAAACCAACCGGATGCAAGGTTTTCATACGGTGAAAGGCAAATTCGCATGCAGGAGGTGAGCATCACTTGTATGTGGGATTCGTATGAGAGCTGGCGGGCAGAAGGCTCTATCGACGGTAGAAGGAGAGGGAAGACAAGATGCGACGAGGCTGATGGGCTGCACAGCAGCGTTGTTCCCGTGAAACAGCTGTAGGGGCGCAATTTCACCCGCAATATCAATTCTGCGTGCGTGCATTTTAGGCATGAAGGTTGACCGACGGGGCGGATCACGGGAATGATGCTCGAAGAGGGAGCTTGCAGTCTCGTGTGATATTTAGCGGGGACAGGGATCGTATATTTAGCTCAGTGTGCGATACTTAGCGCGTGGCGTTGTTTAGTGTGTGATATTTCCTTCGTTTTTAACCGAAACCGCACTAACACTGCGGCCGATGGCCTTGTATGTGAGAGGTTTGTAAGTGGCGAGTTGCAATCGCCATGCACTGCAGTTCTCTACTTACGACACCATACGCCCGGGTGGGAGGTCGGGGAAAGAAAGTGGAAAGCCAGGTTACATCTCGGAAGAATTTTTGCCCACAAAACTGAGTCCAGGAAGCAACAAGACCCATGATAATTGGCGGGGAGTATCTAATCGCACAGCTGTCTCAGACATGAGGAGACAGCACGAATCACGCTGCTGGAAGGCTCGGCTTGTTGTGAGTCGTGACTTGTCAGGCTGACTGCTGGGTGGTGGAGGTCAGGGAAATCCCCGAAGAGCAGCAGATCGGGGGGAATGGGGTGAAAGGTGGGTGTGGGTGGGGTAGAGTTGGAAAGGGGGTTCCGTGTGGGGCGGGGAAGGGTTTGGAGGGGCAAAAATAGTTTTTCGGGGGACGAGGGGCGGTGGTGGTGGTGGGGTGCGCTGTGGTTTCCCTCGCTTCATCCGCGTTATGCGAAGGCTATCATGAGATATTTGACACTCCGGCGTACAATTATGGTGGGTAGGGGAGGAAGGACTAAATTCACATCAATTCTGTGTCAATGCTACTGCTCATAAGCTTCTCCGTTACACTTGTTACCTTCCTTTCCTCGTGCTTGTTCCTGCCTTCCAGGGAAACCAAACCTTCCGTAACCCCATCAATATCTACTGTATCGTTAACGCGTTAATGTTCCCTGCGGTTTTTGATCTGATCGGATTTTATTTTCTGTGAAATTTCCAGCTCAAGAATGGACATGAACACGTCATCTCACGGAATTCTGAATACTATTTGAAGTTTTGCAACCATCTCAAAGCATTCGATTGCTGCACGGTGTCCAAAGTTGTCCACGCAGCTTCGTTGTTCGTTTCCTCCACCCACTTCGTGATTGCAGCATGTTTTTTCTATCTTTGATTCGATGGTCCAAGCAACCAGCAGCCTTTCCTCCAAAAACTGTTTATCCTAGCTGCCTCGGGCAGCATCTACAGTCGCCCGATTCGTGTTGTCGACGGGTTCCACAGGCTTCCTGGATAAAAAAGCCTTCAAAAAGCCGTCCTTGGTCCATCTCTTCCTCTTCCCCCTTCCCACCCACTTTCACCCGCTCTCACCAGCACCAAAGTTTTCTGAGAGCAAGGGACAAATTGAGCCACCGTATCTGCCGGAAAGAGTTGCCCACAAGAGACGACAGGAACAAGGTTAGCCACAAGTGGCGCGCTGGGCGATCAATCAACAGGTTTCTTGGGCACGAAGGCAAGGACCTCCGCCATTCCATCCATCCCATCCTTTCCATCCCAATCGCCCATCCCATCCCATCCCCTCCCCATCCCATCCCATTCCAATCCCACAATTCCATGCTATGATGCCATCCCTCCGCTCATCACAACAACATGAATGCTGCTGGTCTCGTCTAGTCCTGTCGCAGCTGCTCCGCTCCGCCCGTCATGTGTGCGCGCCGTGCACTACAGTCGCACCGCCAAACTCGATTGCTCGTGGGCCACCCCCTCTGCTTCCACAAACCCACTTCTGCTTCCTACACTGTCAACTTCACTTGCACCTTCCAGCAGCTTGGATAAGACCCCTATCTCACTCCACCTTGCCTCCATTCCCTGCAGGGCTGGCCTGCTGTCAACTCCACTCCTTCCCATACTTGCACAGCCCATCACTCTAAAAAATCTGTGACATCCTTTCCTTGGTTCCGAACCCTTCAATTCACCACGCACGGAGCGCAAAATTGTAGACGCTTGAACGCACGCAGCGGGAAGAACCGACCATCGTCGCAGTACGCGAAAAAAAAATCGTGTTTTTTTTTTCCGAAAGTCCCAATTACCGCAATGGCCGCCGCTTCGTGCGAAGACGACACCATTCTCCTGCTTCTACCAGACGGCGGAGTGCGCATGTTCTCCGCCGCACGCCCCGGCGACCCGCCTCTCCTCGTATCCCACGTTCTCGCGGAGTTCCCCAATTGCCGCGTCTGCCGCCTCGACTCCCCCTCCTCCCCGGGACGCTCCCCCTGCCTTTCCCCACACGCCGCGCTCCGACCAGGAACAACGTACTTCCTCGTCGAACCAATAATGTCTCACAAGGTTGACCCTGGCTATTGCGGCTTCGACCCCGTTACAATGGAACCCATTACCAATATCAAGGGCTCTGGCGCAGGGCCTTTCTATCGGCCGAAGAGCGCAGGCGCCGGCGGCGAGGCGGGGCAGTTTCCGGACTTTATGGAGACAGCGGCCGGTTATTTCCCCTCCGGCGCACAACCCGGCGCACAACCCGGCCAGTACTATTCCCATTCCAGAAACACGAGCCTCAGCAGCAGCGGAACCAGCAACAGCAGCAGCAGTAGCGGCTTCAGCGTGTGCGCCAGCGACACGAGCTCCGGCTCCCGGCGGTTGACGCGCGGACTCACGTCTCCCGCCGCCATGGGCTCCGCCCCTGCGCACTGCTCGCAGAGCTTCCGCGCGCCGCAAACGCCGTATGACGCGCCGGAGCTGTTCGACATTTCCGCCGTCGCTGCGCGAGCCGCCGCCGTATACGGCGGAAGCGCCTCCCCCGTGTCGGGTATGGCTCAGACGGGCCCTTTTATGTGCCGCACCGCGTCCTGGTCCGCCGCTTCCGCTCCCGGATGGGCCGACGCGTACGGAGCCGCGACTTGTTACGAAACCAGCGGGCACGATGCCTCCCCCTCGCGATCATCCCTAGATCTGGATTCGCCGCCGCAAATGCGTTCGCGCCACGTGTCAGCGGAAGATGCGGCGCTTGACTTCATCAAGCAGCACAACGCGACAACGTCCTCTGCGAGTAGGCGGTACCAGCGCGCGCCGCTCCCCCCTCGGTGTTCCGCGCAGCAGCAATCCCCGCGGGAGCAGCAAACAGCGGCAGATGTGCTGGCCGCAGGTCCTTCTGGTCGTCTACGGGTGCAGCGGAGCAGCAGTACCCGCAATAAGATTGTTTCGCTTGAAGATATTGTTTACGGACGGGTAACCTCGTGAAGCACACACGTACATCCAGTTTTGTTCAACCTGACATCCTACCACTACAGGAGTGTGGAGCAATTTCCCTCCACAGGAGGGTTTTTTCACCCAGCTTTCATTAAGCTGCCTCCTTTTGGGTTGGTGTAAACGCGTCGTGACAATTTTGTGCATATGTTTTCCCAAGGATGTGGCACACCGTAAGGAATGTTGCTCACCTTGGTTACGCTTTAAGTTGTGGTTTTGTGCTTAGTTGTTAAAACTGGATGGAGCCAATGTTGCCCCATCCTGTATTCAAAAGAATGTGCTGGTTGAAGTGTGCGTTGTGCGCACACTAGCTGTGATTTTGTCATGTCACTATGCCAAATATAGCACCCGTCTAGCTTCAACCCAGCAGCCACCCTAGATTCATCAGGGAGGGCGGAAATGACATGGGGCTAATGACTCCACATGTATTCGCAAACAGCAGCTTTTTCTTCAGCTTTGCCTCGTCTAGCCTCTAACCCAGCACTTGAGCCACCCTAGTTTCATCCGGGAGAGCGGGAATGGCGCCTCTAACAGTGGTGGTGATGGCTCCACATGCATTCGCAAACAGCAGCGCTTCCTTCAGCTTTGCTTCATCTTCAAGCAACAAATCCAACGCCTCAAATCCACTGCTACCGCTGCTGCCTCCTGCTGCCAGCTGGCGGAGAAACCCAGCAACAAAGGCATCGCCAGCGCCAGTGGTGTCGATAGCAGCAACACTGAACCCATCCACTCTCCCCTGGTACCGCTCTGTGTAGTATCTGCACCCCTTCTCCCCCTCAGTTACCAGCAAGAGCCGAAGCTTCCCCTTCCCGTCGCCGCTGCTGCTGTTTTTGTGGCGGTTGAACAGAGACCGTGCCACGTCATCGCTGTAAGGGTCGCCGCCATTGGTCAGAAACGCTACCTCTTCGTCGCTCACTTTGATGACGTGAGCGCGGTCCCAGATGCTCAGGATGCCGTCCCGCGCCGCTTCCGAGGACGGCCAGAGGGGAATTCGAAGATTAGGGTCGTATGAGAGAACAGTGTTGCTGCTGCCGCTTTCCACTGCGTCTAGCAAAGCCAGATGCGCGGATTTGCACGGATCTGTGATTAAACTGATGGATCCGTAGTGTAACACAGATGCGCTTGTAGCGAGGGGGAGATCAAGCTCCTCCGGCTGTAGCAGCATATCCGCGCTAGGGTTCCTGTAGAACATGAATTCCCTCTCGCCGTCAGATCTGAGTGTGACAAAAGCGAGGGCTGTGCGCGCTCCCGCGTCGAATCTGAGCGCTGACGTGTCAACGCCGTTCGTTTTGAGAATCCCTCCCAGCATGTGTCCGAATTCGTCCTCCCCGACCTTCCCCATGAAAGCCGCTCGTCCGCCGAGCCGCGCAATGCCGACCGCCACGTTGGCAGGCGCGCCGCCAGGAGCCTTCATGAACGCCGGCGCTTCGGCGAGAGAGACGCCGTTGACGGTGGGGACGAAATCGATGAGCATTTCGCCGAAGCACACGACGAGGCCGGAGGAAGAATCACCGGAACCAGCGGCATCAGATGCATTACTAGCAGCCGCCATCTCGTGATGATTGGACGATGCGACAACACGGAAGGTAGAAAGATTGCGGTTTCGTCGGAGAGGATTCCTTGGAGCCGATTTCTTGATAGCGGATCGAGTGAGAGGAATAAGAAACCCGGAAAAGGTGGATTTGAGCTGGTGAGAAACACAGCCGCTAGAAACGGAACGAGATGGAACGGTCTGGCGACGCTGCTTGAGAGTCTCGGTACAAGCAGAGCGCGCTGTCAGCACAGCAGAGGCGGCGTTGGGAGAGGAGAGGATAAGCGTTGACGTGGGAAGCATGGCGGGACTTACGGAGTGATATGGAAAATGGGAAATGAACAGGGTTGCTATCTTGCTAGCTCATTCAATTTCACACATTTCCTGCCTCCTAGAAATAATAGGCTGGCTGGACCATCAGTTCCCAGGGCATGAAAACATGTAGATCGGCCCGAAGCGTTTTGAATACGTTTACGCTCGGTTCCTTGGGGTGTGCGCTGTTCTGATACGGTGTGTGTGTCACCACGACTGTACATTCTGTGATGCGGGAAGCCGTGGACGAGACGCGACCGACCAGTAAATAAACGGGCAGCACTAGGCAATCAACGCACAAGGCACAAGGCTAAGTTCCACTAACGGTGGGCAGAGTGGACGGAGAATTGACGGAATCCTGCTTTTTGTTTGAATCGACAAAAATGATAGATCACCTTCCTGGGGTGTCCGGACTTTGAAGTGGGGACAGCGAAAAGTGCATTCCGCGCGTGTAAGAGATTGGGTAGGATGATGAGGTGGAGGGGGAACGAATCTGGACGTCGCAATTGTTCAGAGGACCCCAACGTGCGAACACCCCTCATGATCGGACGGTTGGGCCTGACCAACTAGATTTGAGATGCGATCACAGATCGTAGATGGAGTCGTGCAGGAAATTTTGATCGCACACTGGAGAGTAGGTGAGAACGTGAAAGCAGCGTGGAAGCAACGTGAAATCTGCCACGCTGGACCCAGATAGTTGTACTTTTGGGGGCTGTCCTGTCCCAAGTTCGCAGGAAGGCGATCATAGAAAACGGGAATCATACACATAATCAATCTTACAACCCTCCTACATGTTTTCATCCAACAAACCCTTCATAGACTTGCCTAGTAGAGAACTAGGCAGTTGCGTGGCAGCGAGGATTGAGTGTACCAGCCGCGGCAGAGGAGGATCGAGCACGAGCCAGCCATTGGACTGGTTTGTGGCCATGCTGTCATAAAACGCTCTGCTGTGCTGATGCCACCGACTCCCCACAAACCACGCATAAGCCTCCTGCATTCACCCATCACTAGGAACACGACGCTTCCCACCAACCAAGCATTCCTCAGACCCCTAGGAAATTGCTACTACTGGTATCACCTTTTTAGCTGCCACTACCTCTTTCCCCTGCTGCTGCTGGAATATCATTACCGTATGTGAAGTTACTGTTGGTTACCATAGTATGTGGTTACTGCTGCATGTGGTTACCCCGCATGTGCTCGTCCACCAATGAGATGACTTCATTCACCTGTGGCATGCGGCCCTCTGCCAGCTTGGAGAAGAGCTGCACCAATCAATTTGCAGGAAAGACGTGGGGAGGAGGCATCCATGTGAACAAGAAGAACAATTAAATGGGAGGAGCGAAGACGAGCTGACTTTCCAGTCGACTAAAAAATAGATGGGAGGAGGGAAGACATGAGCGTAGGCATTTGGAAAATAAGGAGGAGAGATGGGAGGAGGGAAGACGTGGCGGAGGCATTTGGGGAACGAGGAGGAGAAATAGATGGGAGGAGGGAAGACGTGTAGGGAGGCGTAAAGACAATTCAAGCCATCCCATGACAAATCAAGCCACCCCACTGCCACCAATGCTCACCGTGCGGTCGTCCAGGACAAGCTCGAAAGCTCCGGTGCCGGCTAACGACCCGCGCATCACATTGGGATGTGGTGGTGCTAGGGGGACTCCAATTTGACGTGTCACACTGCCACCCACGCCCACCACCAATCATACCCAACCCAACCCAACCGAACCCAGCCCAACCAAACCCAGCCCAACCAAACCCAGCCCAACCAAACCCAGCCCAACCAAGCCCAGCCCAACCAAACCCAGCCCAACCGAACCCAGCCCAACCAAACCCAGCCCAACCAAACCCAGCCCAACCAAACCCAGCCCAACCAAACCCAGCCCAACCAAACCCAGCCCAACCAAACCCAGCCCAACCAGACCAAGAGCCACCCATTGCCACCAATGCTCACCGTGCGGCCGTCCAGGACGAGCTCAAACGCCCCCGTGCTGGCGAGCGACCCGTGAATCACGTTGCCCACGATCCACACGGTCGCTGCCGAGCCTAGGCGGTTGGTTCGGATCTGCTCGTACCTGTGGGTTGGGGAGAGGGGAAGAGCGGGTGGGAGAAGGGAGAAAAACAATGGAGACGAAACGATTGGAAGGATATCTACCCGCCCTGAACAAACGAATTCAGCAAACGGAAAATCAACCGTGAAGCGACAACACATTTTCCCCAAACGGAGCTCAAGATTGGGGAAACCAGCAACAGGGTGGGGAGATTGAAAATAACTCCCCCAACTGGCGGGATGAATTGACTCACCCAACAGGGGGGGAAGGGGGGCGGGAGGCCGACGACGGGCAGCAGCGAGTCCCCCGCGAAGATCACGGCACTCACCGCCATCTACACCGCCAGCTGCGCTCAGCGTTTAGAATTCCTGATCAAGCAACGCACTCACCACTGCGGGAAGGGCGGGGGGAGGCCGACGGCGGGCAGCAGCGAGTCTCCCGCGAAAATCACGGCGATCGCCGCCATCTGCGCCGCGGAGAGCAGCTTCGAGAGGACCTGGCAGTACGCGGGGGGCGGGTGGTTGCCGAGGCTGACCTCCAGGTCCGGATAACGATCCGAGAGGATCTGCCGAACCTGCTGCGCCGCCCCCCTGGTAAGAAGGGAAGGAGCAGGACGGGCAGAAAAACAATTTCATCAATTCATGGGACTCACGGAGTCGCTGGGTGATTTCTTCAGCAGTTCAACAGCCGGGCGAGAAATAACGAAAGACGAGCGAGAAGGATTCCTTAGCGAATGGGGGAGAAAGAAAGAGATGAATGAATCCCACTCGGGATTTCGAGCGACGTTCGTACCTGTAGGATCAGGAAGTGCAAAAGGAGATTAAGAGGTTATGGGCATGGTTGCGACTAGGAGTGGCCAACGCCGACGCGAACATCGCGCCGCCGCCTGTAGCGGAGGCTGGAATAGACTTCGCGGCTAACCCGGCACCAGACGCGGCGATTGATGCGGCGGCGGTTGCGGACTCAGAGCCGGATTGCGCCTGCGAAGCGGCAGGCGAGGCGGTGAAGGGACGGATGACGTCACCGGAGAGGGAGAGCGCGACGAGCAGCACGGCTAGGAGAAGCGGGAACTGCCGCTGCCAATCCATCGCGGTGGGAGCATAAGAAGGGCAGCTTGGGTGGCTTCTTGTGTCGGTTATAGAGGAAAAATACTTTTTGATTGATTTGAAACATATGTGCTCATGCCGGAGTGGTTAACGGGACAGACTAGAAATCTGTTGGGCTCTGCCCGCGCAGGTTCGAGTCCTGCTGAGCACGCTTGTTTTTGGTTGTGTAGAGGGTGAATCTTGTCGAATCATTCCCCACCAGAGCAGCATGGAAACTCTCTTACTCCAACCTGCTCTAAAGTGTGCCTTCTTTGAGACTGAGTGCTGGGCCAGCCTTGAACCAGCTCGGGTTGTCTGCACCTCAAAACAGCACACTAACCAAGGCCAATGTATGAGATCACGAGTGAAGAGACATGCCATATTTTGTGGAAGTGTAAGGTGAGTTGAAAGCCAACAGTTGGGTTGAGGGAAGTTATGTGACCGAAGGGTTTGTTCACCGACGACAAATCTTCACATGAAGGGCAGGAGGCATGCTGGCAGCCTGGCATGCTACGACAGGTGAGTGAGTGTGCTGACGAGCGCCACCACCGCCTCCACATCGGACTGAATCAACGGTTCCCTTCCTGCCGCTGTGAGATGAGTGAGTTAAAAGACAGGGGGAAGTGTCAGGGAGACGTGACGCATTTGACAGACGTGAGAGTGCTGACGAACGCCACCACCGCCTCCACATCCGACTGGATCGATGGCTCCCTGCCTGCCGTTGCGAGGTGAGAGAATCAAGTCAAAAGAGGGTGGAGGTGTCAGAAAAAGAGACGCATTTGACCCACTTGCATGTTACGGCATCATTCTAAGACAGCAAAAGCGATGCGCTCGAAATCGTCAAGGAGAAGAGCCGAAGGAAGCATGGTGGGACCCACTAGGCACACCAACATCCCCACAAGAGACAAGTGACTCGCCTCAACCCTCCACTCCTGCGACTGCCTTGTCCGTCTCTCACCCTGCACTATGAGCTGCACGGCAGCATCAAAGTCATCAAGCCGGAGAGCAGAGGGAAGCATGGTGGGACCCACTAGCCGCACCAACGCCACCTCCACTACCAGCTCCCCCACCAGCACCCCCAGAAGCGAGAACTGAGTTGCCTCAACCCCCCACTCATGCCACTCCCGTGCCCCTCCACTCACCTTGCACTATGAGCTGCACGGCAGCGTCGAAATCATCAAGCCTCAGAGCTGAGGGAAGCATGGTGGGACCCACTAGCCGCACCAACGCCACCTCCACTGCTAGCGCCCTCACCAGCACCCCCAGACGAGAGAATTGAGTCGCTTCAAACCCTCACTTCTGCTGATACCTTGTCCTGTCTGCCCCTCACCTTGCACTATGAGCTGCACGGCAGCATCAAAGTCGTCGAGCCTCAGGGCAGAGGGAAGCATGGTGGGACCCACTAGTCGCACCAACGCCACCTCCACTGCTAGCGCCCTCACCAGCACCCCCAGACGAGAGAATTGAGTCGCTGCAAACCCTCACTTCTGCTGATACCTTGTCCTGTCTGCCCCTCACCTTGCACTATGAGCTGCACGGCAGCATCGAAATCATCGAGCCTCAGAGCAGAGGGCAGCATGGTGGGGCCCACTAGCCGCACCAACGCCACCTCCACTGCTAGCGCCCTCACCAGCACCCCCAGAAGCAGCCGACACACCGCCAGGCGGGCGGGTGGCAGAGAGGAGGACGAGTGAGAGGAGGCGGAGGGGGAGGAGGAGGAGGAGGGGAATGAGGGGGAGGAGCGGGCGGGTGGGGAGGAGGAGAGGCTGGGGTTTCCAAAGAGGGTGGTGGGGCGGAGAGGAGAGGAGGGGTTGAAGGTGGGTGGGTTGGTGGGGGGTTGGTTTGGGGTGGAGGAGGAGGAGGATGGGTGGTGATTGGCTTGGTCTGCAGATGCGAGAATGTCTAGAATGATTGCCACTGCTTGGTCCTGATGGACAGATGTGGGCGGGAAGGAGTGGGGGAGAGAGAGAGAGGGGAGGATACGGGGAAGCGAGACAGGTGAGAAAGGGGTAGAAGCGGAATAGATGACCTGAGTAACGTTACCACTTTCTGCTTGGCGCTGGAGTAACTTTACCACAAGCACCAAGCTCACCTCCAGACTGTACTGTGTAGCACCTCTGGTGCTGGCCTGGCAGGCAGCACAAGTCTGGACCAAGAGAGCTTGCCTTGAACGCTAAGCCACAACACACTCAAAACGCTCAAGGGAAAATCACAGCACCATACACACACACCCTGACAGCTGCAAGCTCACCTCTAAACCGTGTAGCACCTCTGGTGCCGGCAGCACGGGTGCACCTTCCCCCATCACCACCACTGCAGATGCCGCCCCTCCCATTACCCCCGCCATCACCCCTCCCCCTCCTCCCCCAAACCCTCCCATCCACCCCCCCTCTCCTACCTCCCCTCCCCCCACCCCCCGCCCTGCCCACTGCTGCATCCCTGCCACGTCAGCACAGCCCCCCGCCATGTCAGCGGTCGAGGGGAAATATCTGCGGAGGAGGGAAGTGAGGAAGTGTAGGGAGTGGAGAGCGAGGGAGTACACCTCAATTGCTACAGTATCAGTGTATTCTGAATGCAGACGACGAACACCGCCTGCTCCTCCTCCTTTCCCGTCTCCTACCCCCAGTCCGGACTTCCCCCCCGCTTCCGAACCTCCAGACTTGGTTTGCCCTGCCGAACCTGCTCCAAACCCAGCCTGTCCCTGCTGCCCCTTCGCACCCCAGAGGCCCAAACCTCCCCCTGTGCCTGTGCCTGTACCAGGTGTGCTAATAAGGGGGGACTGGGGTGTAGCTGGGGAAGTAGAGGCTACTTTAAGCGTCCCAGATTTGATTCCCTCGGGTTGACCGGTAGGGCTGACCCCTTTGCCTGTAAGAGTAGGGGAAGGAGGGAAGAGGGCAGCAGCAGGGGTGGTGCTGGCTGTAGTGGCTGTAGCGGGTGTGCTTGCTGCTCCTCCTCCTCCTGCCGCTGCTGGTGTTGCCAAAGAGAGAGATTGAGCACCTGTGGTTCCAGTGACTGTGGTTCCAGTTACTGCAGGTGATGCAGAAGAAGTACCAGCAGCAGCAGCACTACCAGCAGCAGCAGTACCAGCACTGCCAGTACCAGTACCAGCAGCAGCGGCGGCGGCTGAAGCAGCATTAGAGTTCTCACGACGAGCAGCAGCAGCAGCAGCGGTGGCTCTAGCCGTGACAGCAAACCAGCCTTTATGACACCCCACAGTAGCAGGCCGTGCATGTGCTGCTGCCTCCTCCCTCCCACCCATGTGACACACTATGCTGCTCGCCCCCCCTACAGGTCTCGCCAACCCCTCCCGAGCAATGAAGGCCAGGAGGAGAGAGCATGAGGCGGAGAGATCGGAAGAGAGGTGGGGGGAGAGGGGAGGGGAGTGGAGAGGGGAGGTGATGGAGGGGAGGGTGGGGAGGAGTTGGTGGGAGGCTTGGCAGAGGAGGGAGAGAACGCGATTGGTGGATCGGAGGGCTGATAAGCTTGTGATTAGCTGATGGCGTTTTTTGGATTGGTGCCCTCGTGACTGTGTTGATTGTGACTGTAACGAGGGGTGGGGGAAGAGAAGAGAGGAGGAGTAGGAGGTAGAGGAGGTGGGGGTTGAGAGGGAGAGGAGAGAGCGTGAGGGGTGGAGAGGAGAGGAGAGGGCAGCTAAGAGAGAGGGGAGTTGGAAAGCGAGGAAGTCAAGGGCGAGTCTGGCTGCAGTGGAAGAGAGAGAGGAGGAGGAAGAGGCAGGAGAAGGGGAGAGCGAGAAGGGAAGACAGGAGGAGGAGGTGAGAGTGAGTGAGTCGGAGAGAGAAGGTGGAGGGAGGAGGACGCGGAAAATGCAGGTGGTGACAGTGAGAGCTAGCGACCAGAGTTCCCACGCCTCTCGCACTGACGCACTCTCCTCCTCTTGATCCATATCATATCTAGTATCATATCCGATATTATCTTCGAGATTATACCTGTTATCCTGATCGTTGATTCGCACTATACCATCCCCAATCGCACCCAACCGTCCCCACACCCCTGTTCCTCCTGCTGCCCTCCATGCTACCCCCCCTGCTGCCGCTGCTGCTGCTGCCGCTGCCGCCGCCGCTGCCGCTGCTGCTGCATTGAAATCCGAACCCCCTCTATCAGCATACAGCCCCCCAAAGGCGGCAGAAGCTTCCTGGAAAGGGCCGACGCTGAGGTGGGAGTGAGGCGGCAGGCTGTCAGTGATGGTGCTGACGTGGCGCAGGAATCCAACGGCCAGGAGAAGATCTGCGCCCTCACGCGTGGATGAGAGGGTGAGGCAGAGACTGAGCACCACCCGCGCAGATGCAGAGCGAGAGAAGCGAGAGGAACGAGAGGAGAGAGAGGAATATGCAACTGCTCCGTCCCATGTGGTGTTCCCAGCAGCTGCTGCTGCGGCGGTGGCTTCTTGTGAGGGCGGAGGGCGGTACTGGAGAGTGGAGGAGAGGAGGGAGGGGAGGGAGAGATGGGCAGATACCAGAGGTCGCCATGTTAGGGGGGAGAGGAAGCACCTGAGCGCCATTTCCACCACTGCTAGAGCTTGCATCGGAAGGTTCCTGGAAGCGTCTGCCGCGCCGATGAATCCCTGCGCGTCTTCTTGGATGTTCGAGGAAGCTGCCTCGAGGAGCACGGTAAGGTTCTCGGAAAGCACCACAGTGACGTCAGCTGTTTTGTCTTGTAGCAGGGAGACAGTGGCGGGTGTGTCGGATGAACCTGGTAACTCGCTCCTCCTCTGCTCTGACGTCAGCATGACGTGGATCAGCTGCAGGACCGATAGCAGGCTGCCAAGTGTCGACACGGCGGGCCAGGGCCCCACGAGTTCTGCCAGCTCAGCATCCATCAGCTTCCGGGAAGCTTCCATGAGCCTTCTCACGAGGGTCGAGGCAAACGAAGCAGCGGATTCTAAGACACCCTGTTGACTTGCCAGGCTCTGTTGACTTTCTTGACCAGGAAGCTTCCTCTGAATTTCCTGCTTCTGGTGGTGGGTCCATCGGATGATTAAGAGGTGGAGAAGGCGAGAGGAGGAGGAGAGATAGGCAGCTGGGGAGGGGAGAGGAGGGGAGGAGGGCGAGGAGGGCGGGAGAGGGAGGACAGAAGAGCACGCAACGAGGAGCGAGGAGGAGAGAGCGGTGATAGTGCTCTCAAGAAACGAGTGCTCAACCGCAGCCGACCCATCTGCACCCCACTGCACCGCCCAAGGATCCTCCGCACCCACCGTACTCCCCTGAAACCCATCTGCACCGCTCAGTCCCCCCCCGCTGCTGACTGCCAGCACGTCTCCTGCAGCCCGTGCTGCTCCCAGCAGCCCCCCTGCTTGCCACAGGAACCCATCTGCTATCAAACACGCCTCTGCTGCTGCTGCCACCAGGGCAAGGGGCGGTGACTTTTCACTAGCAGAACCACCACCACCAGCACTGGCACCGCCACAACCGCTGCTGTCGCTGCTGCCCCAGCAGCGGAGACCAGCCGAGGCAGTGAGGCTGCGTGGAAAGAAGGCAGTAGTAATGCTGCCTGCAATGCTCTCTAACCGCTCTACCCTCGCTTCTGCTGCTGCTCCCTGCTCCTGCCCTGCTTCCCCTCCTGCTTCCCCTCCTGTTGCTGCCCCTCCTGCTGCTGCCCCTCCTCCTAACTCCAACCCCCCTCTCAGCAAGCCTCCCACTCCTCCCTCTGCTACTGCTGCCCCTGCCAGGGCCCGTAGAAGCTTCCCAGCAGCTTCCACCGAGTCCAGGCAGCGTTCGGCTATGGCAAGAGAGGAGGAGGAGAGAGAGGAGGGTGTGAGGGAGGAGGTGGAGGAAGCGAGGAGGGAAGTGGAGGAGAGGAGGGAGGAGAGGGAGGAGAGAGAGGAGAGGGAAGAGGGGAGCTGAGAGGAGATTGAGGAGCAGAGGGCGGAGAGGAGAGCGGGTTTCCAGTCAGAGGGGTGGTGGTGAGGGGAGAAGTGGTTTGAGGAGAGCTGATGGCGTAGCTGCTGCAGAAGTGGGTGTGAAAAGAACTGCATGCGGAAGATGGGGATAAAGAGACGGGGAGAATGGCAGCTATGAAAAAAAATCAGGTGAAATGTGCCGCAGAGAGTGCACGGCAGAGAGTTGAGGCAAGTGGATTGAGAACCGTGAGATGAGAGAGGAAGGGAAGGGGAGAAAGGGAAGAATTGCGCACTTTAAGGTAAAGAGACGGGTTAAGAGAACAACCCAGGCATGGTGAGTGTTGCAACACATGTGGCATGGTGAGTATGGCATATCATGGTGACAATAAGAAGGAAATCACTTGGAAGGAGATGGAGTGAATCTGCTCTAGCAGTCGCAGGCTCATTCCCTCCACGTCACCAACAGCCACCCGCCACATCAGCACGGCCGCCAACAGCTTGCATGCCAGCTGGCAGGATACAAGAAAAGTGGGGACGCAGGGGGGTGGGTTGAGCTGAGTGAATGAAACGAACCACAGTGACGACGAGTGTGTGGGTGGGTGGGAGGGAAGACAACATCTGAAGTGCGTTGACTTTTGAGTCGACTCAAAAGACAAACACGAGTGGGTGGGTAGGAAGAAGGGAAGACAACATCTGAAGTGCGTTGACTTTTGAGTCGACTCAAAAGACAAACACGAGTGGGTGGGTAGGAAGAAGGGAAGACAACATCTGAAGTGCGTGCGGATCAGCAGCACCAGCAGCGCGAATCGCCACTCCCCTGCAACCACCAGCTCAGCTGATGATGTTCCAGATTCACTTGGTGAGTCCACAGCAACTGCTGCTGCAAAACCAAAACCTATTGGCAGCAGCAGCAGCAGCAGCAGCAGCAGCAGCTGAGCTGGTGATGGTAGAGGAGTGGCAATTGGCACTGCTGGTGCTGCAGTTGGATATGTGTGAGCATATGCTTACTCACCTGTCCGCTGCTCCAAGCCTGCCACATGTCGCCCCACAGCCGCCCCCCTCCCTCCACCACCCCCACCAGTTCCTGCACCAACCCCACCCCCTCTCCTCCCTTCGTCCCTCCTCCGCTCGCCTCTAGCAGCAGCATCCCCGCTCCTGTTGCCGCTCCTCCGGCTGAGTATTTTCCAGGAAGCTTCTTCTCCAGGAATAGGTTGAGGGAGACGAGGCGCAGGGCGGCGGCGTGGGAGCGCCAGCGCCAGCCAGCTTGCGCCAGCTCAGCGGGGGCGTATTCCACGTCAGCGGACGACGAGGAGGTGCCGAGGGAAGGGGAGAGTGAGGAGAGCGAGGGAGGGGAGGGGAGTGTGGAGGGGGATGGGGAGGGAGAGGAGGGGGAGGAGTGGAGGATGGAGGAGAGGGAGGACCAGAGGGTGGGGTTGGAGCGGAGGTGGAGGAGGAGAGGGAGGAGGGGAGAGGAGGAGGAGCGCCAGATGGAGCACAGGAGGCGCAGGAGCAGACAGAGCTGCATGGGGTGGCTGGAACAGGGGGGGAATGAGAGGAGAAAACAAGGAGTTGGGAGTAGGCTTATTTTTTAGGAAGGGAAGTTTATTTTTGAGTCAGCTCTCAAGCGTTTTCCAGGAATGCAGGAGGAGACGAGTCGTTACTTTTATCTGCTTGAAAAGGTAGGTAAGAAAAAGGGAAAGTTAAATTTCGAGGCTACTCAAAGGAGGAAAAGCGAAATTGGTGAGGAATTCGGATGGGGAGAGGAGTCGACGAGAGAGACAGAACAGGGATGCAAGGGGGTGTGGGTGTGGGGGGTGGGGTGGGGGGTGTAAGAAGGGTAGGGAGGAATTTATAGGCATATGGGAGAAAAGAAGTGAGATGGTAAGGGAGGGTAAGAGTCAAGACTCACGCGGCCATGAGGGAAGGGCCTGCAGACAGCAGAGCAAGGATTCTGTCTACGTTGGCTGTGCCCCTCTTTGCGAATTCCCCCCTTCGTGTGCTGCCTGCTCCTGCTGCTCCTGCTCCTGCTCCTGCTGCTCCTGCTCCTGCTCCTGCTCCTGCTCCTGCTCCTGCTCCTGCTCCTGCTCCTGCTGCTGCTCCACCTGCAGCCGCTGCTGCTGCTGGTTTGTCTGTGCTGGTGCTGCTGGTGGTGGTGGCACTGCTGCTTGCAGAGTGGAGGGAGGGATGCTCGGCCAGAAGGAGCTGGTGGAGGAACTCAGGCTGCACAAGGGAGGTGTGTGGGAAATAGTAGGATAGGTCAAGAAAGGCTGAGAGCGGTAGTAGTGGGGGAAGTGCGGGAGGGATGCTCGGCCAGGAGCAGCTGGTGGAGGAACTCAGGCTGTAGGACGGGGGGTGTGAGGAATAAAAAATTGGGCTGAGAAAGGTTGAGAACAGTGCAATAGGGGAAACTAGTGCTGGTTGGGTGAAGTGAGGGAGGGAGGGTCGGCCAGCAGGAGCTGGTGGAGAAACTCAGGCAGCAGAAGGGGAGGGGCGTGGGGACGATGGAGAATTGTTGGGAAAGGTTGAGAACGGTGCAGTGGGGAAAACCAGTGCTGTTGGATGAAATGAAAAAAGTGAGGGTCGGCCAGCAGGAGCTGGTGGAGAAACTCAGGCAGCAGAGGGAGGGTGTGTGGGGGCGGACGAGATGGGCCAAGAAAGGTTGAGAACGGTGACAATGCATGAAGCAGGTGCTAGCTGGGTGAAGAAAGGGAGAGAGGTTCGGCCAGAGGGAGCAGGCGAGAGAAACTTAATATGGAGAGAGGAGGGGTGTGGGGATGAGGGAGATAGGATGAGAAAGGTGAGAGTTGGTGAACGTAGGTGCTACATGGGTAAAGTGGGTTAGGGGCAGAAAGGAGTGAAAGAGTAGGAGAGGTGCTTACTTGTGAGTGTGCAGCGTGAGTGAGTATTGAGGAACCTCAAGAGTCTACTTTTGAGGCCTCTCAAAACCTAGAGAGGGGCTTACCTGTGAGTGCGCTGCATGAGTGAGCAGTTGAAGCAGGGGGACGAAGAGCGCAGATGAGGGAGAGGAGGAGGATGAAGACGCTGATTTTGACGGTGCTGATGCATTGATGGAGGCCGATTCAACGGCCAGGATGCGATCCGCAGAGAGCTGGAGGCTGTGAAGCTGCGTGGGGGGTGGAGGAGGGTAGGGGGGAGGTGGCACGTAGGGGAGGGGGGAGGGGGGAAGGGGGGGAGGTGGAAAGGAAGAATGGTGGGTGTGGTGTGGGCGGGGAAGGTGAGAGATAAAATCAGGGACGTGGGAGATAAAATCAGGGACGTGGGAGCATCGTCGTACGGCGAGATTGGGGAGGGATAAGGCCAGCAGGAGATTGGGGAGGGATAAGGCCAGCAGGAGATTGGGCAGGGATAAGCCCAGCAGGAGATTGGGGAGGGATAAGGCCAGCAGGAGATTGGGGAGGGATAAGCCCAGCAGGAGATTGGGGAGGGATAAGGCGAGCAGGAGATTGGGGAGGGATAAGGCGAGCAGGAGATTGGGGAGGGATAAGGCCAGCAGGAGATTGGGGAGGGATAAGGCGAGCAGGAGATTGGGGAGGGATAAGGCCAGCAGGAGATTGGGGAGGGATAAGGCCAGCAGGAGATTGGGGAGGGATAAGCCCAGCAGGAGATTGGGGAGGGATAAGCCCAGCAGGAGATTGGGGAGGGATAAGGCCAGCAGGAGATTGGGGAGGGATAAGGCGAGCAGGAGATTGGGGAGGGATAAGGCCAGCAGGAGATTGGGGAGGGATAAGCCCAGCAGGAGATTGGGGAGGGATAAGGCCAGCAGGAGATTGGGGAGGGATAAGCCCAGCAGGAGATTGGGGAGGGATAAGGCGAGCAGGAGATTGGGGAGGGATAAGGCCAGCAGGAGATTGGGGAGGGATAAGCCCAGCAGGAGATTGGGGAGGGATAAGCCCAGCAGGAGATTGGGGAGGGATAAGGCGAGCAGGAGATTGGGGAGGGATAAGGCCAGCAGGAGATTGGGGAGGGATAAGGCCAGCAGGAGATTGGGGAGGGATAAGCCCAGCAGGAGATTGGGGAGGGATAAGGCCAGCAGGAGATTGGGGAGGGATAAGGCCAGCAGGAGATTGGGGAGGGATAAGCCCAGCAGGAGATTGGGGAGGGATAAGCCCAGCAGGAGATTGGGGAGGGATAAGGCCAGCAGGAGATTGGGGAGGGATAAGCCCAGCAGGAGATTGGGGAGGGATAAGGCCAGCAGGAGATTGGGCAGGGATAAGCCCAGCAGGAGATTGGGGAGGGATAAGCCCAGCAGGAGATTGGGGAGGGATAAGCCCAGCAGGAGATTGGGGAGGGATAAGCCCAGCAGGAGATTGGGGAGGGATAAGGCGAGCAGGAGATTGGGGAGGGATAAGGCCAGCAGGAGATTGGGGAGGGATAAGCCCAGCAGGAGATTGGGGAGGGATAAGGCCAGCAGGAGATTGGGGAGGGATAAGGCCAGCAGGAGATTGGGGAGGGATAAGCCCAGCAGGAGATTGGGGAGGGATAAGCCCAGCAGGAGATTGGGCAGGGATAAGCCCAGCAGGAGATTGGGGAGGGATAAGCCCAGCAGGAGATTGGGGAGGGATAAGCCCAGCAGGAGATTGGGGAGGGATAAGCCCAGCAGGAGATTGGGGAGGGATAAGGCCAGCAGGAGATTGGGGAGGGATAAGGCGAGCAGGAGATTGGGGAGGGATAAGGCCAGCAGGAGATTGGGGAGGGATAAGCCCAGCAGGAGATTGGGGAGGGATAAGGCCAGCAGGAGATTGGGGAGGGATAAGGCCAGCAGGAGATTGGGGAGGGATAAGCCCAGCAGGAGATTGGGGAGGGATAAGGCCAGCAGGAGATTGGGGAGGGATAAGCCCAGCAGGAGATTGGGGAGGGATAAGGCGAGCAGGAGATTGGGGAGGGATAAGGCGAGCAGGAGATTGGGGAGGGATAAGGCGAGCAGGAGATTGGGGAGGGATAAGGCGAGCAGGAGACTGGGGAGGGATAAGGCGAGCAGGAGATTGGGGAGGGATAAGGCGAGCAGGAAGGGACAGGAGTGGAGAGGGGATACGGAAGAGAGATGCAGAGGAGAGGAAAACAAAACACAGCATTTAGACAACAAACGGAAACTCATTCACATGTGCTAGGAGCCGAATTAGATGTCTTGGAAGCCAAAACATACTTTTGAGGCGCCTCAAAAGGAAGCCAAAACATACCTTTGAGGCGCCTCAAAAGGAAAACAAAACACCCCAGGCCAGGGTCGGTGGCTCAGTTGTGTGCATGGCCTGCAGCTAGTCATGATCCGTTGTAATCAAACGCCCCAGGGTCGGTGGCTTACAATGGGTTTGGCGGCAGGTTGGGAGAAGAAGGAGGAGAGGACAAGGAGGTGTGGTCTGATGCGAGCGGTGATGGTGCAGAGGGTGTGTAGGAAGGTGAGCGAGGCACGTCGTAGAGCCTGCAATGGGAGGAGTGGAGTGGAGGGAGTAAATGGGGAGAAATGAGAGTAAGTCACGTCTGATGGGGAGAAATGAGAGCAAGTCACGTCTGACACGCGAGAGGTGATGGTGTGTAGGAAGGTGAGCGAGGTGAGCGCACCACCCCTCCAGGCGGTGTCGTCTCCCCTCTTTGACCGCACCCGCCCTCCAGCCGGTGTCGTCACCCCCTCCCCCCTCCTCTCCCCCCCCCCCTCCTTCCGTCATGGCGGACGACTCTATTCCCATTGAGCTCGGAGCTATCGAAAAGCTCGAGCTTCTTCATGACACAACCGCTGTGAACTGGGCGTCGTTCGAGGATTCGCTCCACACCCACCTTGGCTCCCTCATCATTCAGGACTACTGTCTGCTTGACATAGACCTTGAGCATCCTAACGGCCTTCCACCTGTCCCTCCCCCTCTTCTTGAACCTCCTCCTCCCGACGCCCCTCCACCCCTAGAGCCTCACTCTGATCCCCCCCGTGCCCCAATTCATGATGACAATCCAGATCGATGGGCGGCCAACTTGAACAACTACAACAAGCTTCGCGACGCCTACACCATCCAGCGTGAGGCGCACTGTGCTGCTGAGAAGGCTCACGCTGATGCTACTGCGCACATCCTATCCTACACACAGGATGAAAGAGACTATGCTGAGGAACTTCGCAAGTTCAACAAGGATACTGCAGCATGGCGAGTTGCGGATCATCGCGCTCTAGCCATCATTTTCTCCTGCATCCCTTCCCACCTCAAACACGACCTCCGCCCCACTTCCTCCTCTGGCCTCTAGAAAACCCTGTCCACTCAATACGATCGACAGGACCTTCGCTCTCTCCTTACCCTATTTCGCAAGTTTCAAGATACCACTCTGGACTCATCCCCCACTGCTGCCGCTTTCACTCGCCGCCTCATTGACACCGCACAGCGTCTCAACAACCGTGGCATTGTCATCCATGAATCGCTTCTCACTGCACGCATCCTTGACTGCCTTCCACCCACATACGATACCTACCGCATCACCTTTACCTCCCGCTACCGCCATCCTCCTCCTGTAGCTGACACAATCGACTGGCTCCTTGACAGCGAAGCGGACATCCAACGTGACTCCACGACCATCAATGCTGTCCAGACTCGTAAAACTCCCGCAAGCAACCACAGCAGCGGCGGAGGTGGCGGCTCAGGCGGTACTGGCAGTGGCGGTGGTGGACGTGGTGGTGGGCGAGGCGGTGGACGCGGTGGTGGTCGTGGTGGCGGCCGTGGTGGGCGCGGCAAGAACCCCTCTCCTTCGGGTACCCTTCCCCCGTGTCAGTACATCATTCGCTATAACTCCAACAAAGGTCAACCCTGCGCTCAAACCACTCACACCACTGACACGTGCTTCAAAGCCCTCACTGACGAGTGGTTTGCACGTGGCAATGTCGGCACCCCACCTAGATGGAACACCACATTTCCACGCCCCTCTCTCCATGACATACGCACTCACACCATCTTCACAATGTCCTCACTAAGCATCTCCCGCCTCATATTCTCCAGCAGGTTCAACATCTTCTCCTTTCATCTCCTCCCACTCCCACACCTTCCATCCCCCCTCCAACCACACTTCCTCTTCAAGTCCCTCCCCCCCACTACCCTTCACCCTATACTGGCTGGCCATACCCTCTCTATCCACCTCCTCCATACGGCCCTGTGCTTCCTACACCTGCTACCACTCCTGCTCCTTCCATGTATGCCCATGCTATTAATGAGACATCCTTCCAGTATTCCGCTTTTTCCTCCTCGTCTGCACCCCTTGAATTCATTCGTGACAGTGGGGCCACACACACCGTCCTTCGGGACGCTGGCACACTAGTCCCCCTACCCACTCCCTCCACCATTTACGGTGCCGACTCCAGCTTCACCATCACAAGTCGACACACCTCCACCCTCCCTTGCCCCATCTTCCCCTCAGGCACAATCACAAATCTACACGTCCTCTCACTACGCAACAATCTGGTAGCACTTCGTGACCTCCCAAGGTTAGGTGTCACCGCCATCTTCCCCGGTCATGCACTTCACTGCGACCTCTTTCACACCATCACTGATCGCTTCATATGTCGCATCCCCCTCTTCCCACACACAAACATGTACACATACCGCACCCCTCACCCCTCCATCCACCAACTCACCACTCCCACCTTACTTCCCCCTCATTCCTTTCCCCCTCTCATCTCCCCCCCCTCCTCCCTCCCCTTCTCCCGCCCTTCCCTCCCCTCCCCCCCCCCCCTCCCTCCTCCCCCTCCCCTTCCTCCTCCCCCTCCCCTCCCTCCTCCCCTTCCCCTTCCTCCTCCCCCTCCTCTCCCTCCTCCCCCTCCTGTCACTGTCGTGACCTTACCCATCCCGCCGTCCTCCTTCACCATCGCTTGGGTCATCCTAACTTTGCAACCCTCCGCCAATCTGTCACCTCTCAACTTCTTGAAGGACTTCCCCTCACCCTCCCCTCTCTCCCCCCCTCGCCTTCCCCTCCCTGCTCAGTTTGCATTGAAAACAAACTAAAGCAAGCCCCCCACAAGAGTCATCCCCCCTTCTCTCCCCAACCCATTGATCTCGTCCACATGGACCTCTAGGGCCCCAATCCCTCCCTCCCCTACCAGGCAAGGTCATCGCTACATGCTCATACTGGTAGATGACCATAGCCGGTACTCCACCGTCTCCCTCCTTCGCAAGAAGGCAGAGGCCCCGGCTGCCATTATTGCCTGGGCTGAACAAGCACGCACCCATTTCAAACGGCCTGTCTCTCGCTTCCATTCCGATGGCGGCAGTGAGTTCCTTAACCGGATGCTTTCCTCCTACTGCTCCACCCATGGCATTATCCACACCTACACCCTTCCTCATTCCCCTCAGCAGAATGGTGTGGCGGAGAGCAGAGTCCGAGAGGTCACAAAGACCGCTCGATGCCTCATGGTCCATGCCTCCTGCCCGCCTTCTTTGTGGGGCTATGCTATCCTCCACGCTGCCATCCTCACTAATCTCTACCCCCATCCTTCCCGGCCCACCACTACACCCACCGAACTTTGGACCTCCACTAAACCCGACATCTCCCCCCTGCGCGTGTGGGGTTCCAAGGCATATGTTCTCATACACCCTGAGGCCCGTTCACGTACAGCTGGGAAACTTGCCTCCCGCACCCTCCCCTGCATCTTCATTGGTCATAACCCCACCTCCCCGGACTACCTCTTCCTCCACCCCCCCTCAGGTCGTCTCATTCGTAGTCGGGATGTGGTTTTTGATGAAGCCAATCCGAACTACACCTCCCCCTCTGCCCCTAACCCCCTTCCCCCTAACCATGCGTCCTCTTCTCTGGACTGACACTATCCCCACCCCTCCCCTTCAGCCTCCCCCCACCCTAGTCATCCCCGCACCCCCCTCTCTCCCAACCTCCTCAGGAAACATCCTTGACCCGGCTGCCCCTCCCTCCCCTTCCGCTGTAACTCCCCCACCCCCCTGCTGACCCTCCCGCTCCCTCTCCACCCTCTCCCCCTCCCTCCCCACCCCCTCCCCATTCCCAACCTCCATTACCTCCTCCCTTCTCATCTCCTCCTCCGCCCCCTCCCCCTCCACCATCTCGGCCCCTTCTTCCCTCCCCTCCTCTGCTCCTTCGTCACTACCCTCACACCCGCTCCACAGTCCCCATCCTTGGTCCCCCACGGTCCAATCACCTCTCCCTCCAGTCTCTCACATCTATTCCACTCCTCCGCCACTCTAGCACTTCCCCTCTCCCCCGCACCAGCCCCTCAGGTTCCCACACCAGCCGTGCTCCCGTCTCCCTGCCCTTCACGGCAACTTAGCGCAGCAGAGAGGCATTGCAGCTGTCTCCTCGCCCCGACCCTCGACGCAGCAGAGCAGCAGTGCAGCCGTGTTCCCGCCCCAGCTTGACCCTCCAGCGCAGCTGTCTTGCATCTTCACCGCCTCCTCTTCCTCCTCCTCTCTCTCCGGACCTCTATGAAGACTCTCACGATGAACTCCTTTTCCTCCACCTCCTCTCACCCACCATCGCCCCCGTCGTCCGCACTATGGCTGACACTACAGTCCTTCTCTTCTCCAACACCCCCACCATCTACGAACCCACCACCTACGAGCAAGCAATTGCATGTCTTGATGCACCTCTCTGGATCGAGGCCATGGTCAAGGAATGCAACGCCTTCATCCACAACCGCTCATTCCTCGACGTCCCTCGCCCCTCCAAGCACAACGTGGTCAAAGGCAGGTGGCTCTTCTGGGTAAAACTACTCCCTGGTGAAGCTCCTGTCTACAAGGCTCGGTATGTGGCGAAATGCTTCACACAGACCTATGGCTCGGACTTCTTCGAAACCTACTCACCTACCACCACTCCGCCGGTCATTCGCGTGTTCCTGGACTTGTTGGCAGACGCGAGATGCTCCTCCACTCCATGGATGTCACCACGGCCTTCTTACAAGGCGACCTCCATGAGCTCATCTTCTTGGAACGTCCCAAGGGCTTCCACACTCCTCACGACCCTGCCACCGTCTGGAAACTACTGCGCCCTGTCTACGGGCTCAAACAAGCACCTCGAGAATGGCACGCCAAACTCTCTTCCACCCTTTGCGCACTTGGCTTTCGCCCCTCCCGCGCTGCCTCCTGCCTCTTCCTTCGCTTCACCCCGTCACCCTTCTTCATCCTCGTCTTCGTCGACGACATGCTGCTGGCGGCTGAGACAGCTGCTGAACTTCAGAAGGTCAAGGATGAACTACAGCACCGTCTCGCCTGCAAAGACCTGGGGGAAGTCCGCAACTACCTCGGCATGGAGATCACCCACGATCTCACTGCCAAGACTATCACCCTCTCCCAGTCATTCTACCTCGGGAAGGTGCTTGAGAGGTTCGACATGTCCAAATCCAAACCCATCCCCACACCACTTGCATTCAGGCATCAGCTTTCGCCTCCAGCCGCTCCTGTCCCCTCCTCTCATCCCTATGCAGAACTTGTTGGGGCCCTGATGTACGCCATGGTCTGCACTCGTCCCGACCTCGCATACCCCGTTAGTGTCCTGGCGTGGTTTGTTGGCACCGGCAAGCATGGTGAGGAGCACTGGAAGTTGGCCATGCGTGTTCTGCGCTACCTCCACGGCACAAAGGACTATGGCCTCACTCTTGGTGGTGTGAACCCACCTGTTCTTCAAGGCTACAGTGACTCATCTTGGGCAGACGCACAGCCGGACCATCGCAGCTCTCAAGGCTATGGCTTCTCACTTGGGAGCGGCCTCATCAGCTGGCGCTCCACTCGCTCCTCCTCCGTCGCCCTCTCCTCCTGCGAAGCCGAGCTGTACGCAGTCACAATGGCGGCTCAAGAGGCACGTTGGCTTAGCTATCTACTCACCGACCTTGGCTCACCACAGCCCTGCCCCACCCTATGGTGTGACAACGATAGTACCATCCACCTCACCAAGGAGGCCGTCTTTCATGGTCGCTCCAAGCACATTGAACTTGTGCAAGATGGTTACATTACTGTTCGTAAAATCGACTCGTCCGCCAACCTCGCTGACCTCTTCACCAAGGCTCTCCACCGCTCTAACCACTCAGCGCTCCTGCGCCTTCAGGGACTTGCTCCCCACGATGGCTGATTCAGGGGTTGTTGCGTTCTCTCCTCCAAAGCTTATGGATTTCTGCAGGTTAAAGGGTTGTGTCAGATTACCATCTTCATTGTAACTTGCATCATCATATAAGCTTTGGTTAGAAATAGGCACCCAAACTTAGTTTGGGTGCACAACTAGGGTTTACCCTAGTTTGAGGTTGGAAACCAACCTTGGCCCAATGATTGGGCCCCCAAGGTTGGGTTGAGAGATTATTGGCCTCCCCAATAATGTTGACCCACTCTTGGTCAACATTATTGGTCCCCCCAATAACTCCTCAACCCAACTTACTGGTGGGGGCCAATAATGTTGGCATGGCTCCTACATCCTAACTCCACTATGTAAACCCATGCCCTTCCTAATGAAACTATCGGTTCCTCTTTACGTTTTCTCACAGAGAGGTAAGAGAGGTGAGAGAGGTGAGAGAGGTGAGAGAGGTGAGCGAGGTGAGCGAGGTGAGAGAGGTGAGAGAGGCACGGGGCACAACCTGCAAGGGAGGGAGTGGAGCGAGAGGATGGGTGAAAGAAAACGCTCACCTGTGCCAATGAGCGTTTTTGCTCGTAACACAAGCACTACCAGCACTCGCTTGCAGATGAAAATGCAAAGAAAGTGCAAAATCCTGCAAACCTGCAAGATTTGCACACCTGTGACTGGCCGAGGCTTGTCAGTGCAGCAAGCGCCGTCACCAGCGGAACTGAATCAAGCCCCACCGTTGCTCCTGCTCCCTCTCCTCGTCCTCCTCCTCCTCCTGCTGCTCTTGCTAAGGCAGCGTCTGCTGCAGCTCCTGTAGAGTCTAGTGCTGGTGCTGACGGGGTGAGCAGCATGAGATGCGAGGGGAGGCGAGCGGAGGAGGAGAGCAGAAGCGACTCCAAGGGAGAAAGGGGCTGCGGGGGGAGGGAGCGGGGGGAAGTGAGGGGAAACAAAGAGAGGAGGGGTGAGAAGAGAAGGGGGAGAGAGATGGTTAAGATGAGAGGGGAGAAGTGCAGAGGAGGAGAGGAGAAGCGACTCCAAGTTGGAGAGGGGCAAGGCGTGAGAGAGAGGGAAGCAACAGAGAGAAGAGACAGGCAGAGAGGATGAGGGGCACAGGGTGAGCAGCTCACTCACTGCATCAGAGGTGTAAACTGAGGCGCGTCAAAATACACCTCAATGCTCGAGGATGAGTGGGCCTGGCTCACTCACCGCATCAGCAGCAGCCTCGCTCAACTCACAGCAGCAGCTGCTGCATGGCAGAAGGGCTTGAGGCGAATGCAGAGGGTGAGCAGCTCCAGACCCCGGTGCAGCGCCGCCTGCTGCTCTGAACCACCTGACACGGATTCAGCACAGGCGTCGCCCCCATGAGTGCAACTGGGTCACTCACCGCATCGGCTGTAGCCTGGCAGAAGCTGTTGAGGCGAATGCAGAGGATGAGGAGCTCTAGACCCCCGTGCAGCGCCGCTGACTGCTCTGACGATTCAGAACGCAACATTGATTCTTCAGCACAGGCGAGGCTCTCCTCACAGTAACTCTGGGAGCCCCCCACAGAGCCCCTGCCTGGCAGCACGAGCAGCACCGACTGCAGTGGTGCCAGCAGTGCGGCGGATATGCGTGCATCAGTGAGCAGCAGGTGGAGCAGCTTGGACGCGAGAGCAGAGGCTGCGGAGGGCGAGGAGGGTGGGGCTGGTGGGGATGGTGGGGAGGAGGAGTAGGGGTTGAATGTCTCACTGCTCATCCTGTCACCACTGCTGCTGTTGCTACTACTGCTCCACATTCCCGCTCCAACTCTGCTTCTCTTATATGCTCCTTTCTCCTGCCACCCCTCCCTCCGCATGTACTCCTCTCTCTCCTCCGTAACTTCTTTCTCCTCCCGCTCCTCCTCCTCCGCCTCTTCCCAGTCGTCCCCCCCTCTGTGGCCGCTTCCCCCCTCCAGGAGGGATTGTGTGGAGCGGAGGAGAGAGGAGGCGGCCCAGGGGGCGAGAGAGAGAGTGAGGGAGAGGAGGCGAGACAGCTGGGAGCGGGGGAAGAACGGAGGGGTGACAGGGAAAGGGTTGTCGCGGGGGAAGAGTAACAGGTTAAGGTTGGGTTGGCGGATGGGGGTAGAAAGGGGGGAAACATGAAGCAGAGTGTGACGAGGGAAGGGAGGGTGAGGGGATGAGGCCGCGAGCAGGATGAAGAGATGGATGGAGGATATGCAGGATGGGGATATGCCTGTACCTTGCCAGCCATGTGCCATCGCTCTCTGCCATCCTCCATGCGCCACGCCACTTAGTTGGGCAGCACATATCACCGCAAACCCCAGAAGGCCTGGCACTCTCCCCGCCCCATGAAAGATCTTCCGGAATTCCCTTCCATCTCCCTACCATCTCCCAGCACCTCACCTTGCCAGCCATGTGCCATCGCTCCCTGCCCTCCTCCATGCGCCATGTGTCGGAAACTCATAATCTGTGGCATCCCATGGCTTGCCTCCTCCTTCCTGCTCTCACCCTCCCTCCCTTCTTCTTCCAAGCTCTGTTCCTGTGATACCTTACCTGCTCTGCCTCAGCCACTACCGAGAGATTCTGGCTCCCACACGATGGCTGCCCTCAGTGGCCTAGTCACCTAGCTGCTGTAGCGTTAGAACGGCAACGTAAACCCACTATTTTAGGCAAACAAACGAGAGAAAGAACTAAGCAGTGAGTTCCTAGTCTATTTGAATCTCTACCCCGTGCCGCGCAGTTTCCCGTAACTCACATTGGGCTCCGCCCGCTAGGCTTTAGGATTGGCCTTTCAGATTGCCCAGGGCTCGCCCTTGAATTTGTCCCACCCTGCGCCTCGCAAGTCCCTGAATCACCACTTTGCGTCAATCCCCACGCCCCAAACTCACCTTCTACAGTACTTCGAATAACCCAACACTAGCAAGTAACTGAATCTATTGCAAACAACAATACATTCTGTGACAGCTGTCGGAAACTCATAATCTGTGGCATCCCATGGCTTGCCTCCTCCTTCCTGCTCTCACCCTCCCTCCCTTCTTCTTCCAAGCTCTGTTCCTGTGATACCTTACCTGCTCTGCCTCAGCCACTACCTGCCCCCTCCAGAGCTCGTGCTCGGGTCTCCCGTGCACGTGTCACTGGACACTCTTGCTGAGGCCGGGTGCTTCTCACCACTGCAGCATTCGTCAGGCGGTTCCCCGTCTGCTCTCTTCTCTGATTCCTCTGCACCAGCACTCTTGGACCCCCCATGTCCTGCGTCTCTCTTCTCTGTGTATCCAGTGCCACTTCCAGCATATCCCTCTCTGCAGGTATGCTCCCTGTCCCATGCCACCCAGTTCTCAGCCACTCTCATTCCCGCTGGTTCTGTCAGCACCTGTGTTGCTGGCTCCATCGACTCATCTTCCCATGTCTCTCCCTTAATCCCCTTTACTGTCTTCACGGCCTTTTGTTCTTTCTTACTCATTGCATCTCCCACTGTATGCTCCAGTCCTTCTCCTATTGTCAGGCACTCCCACGCCCCCTCTTCCTTGCTCTCCCTCGCTGCTTCTTCCTGCTTCTTGGCCGGGTCCCTCACCGGACCTTCCCATCGAGCGACCCATAGGTCACCTTGCCCCTGGTTACACGCCGCCTCTGCTGGTATGCTCCTCACATCCGCCTCGGGTCCTCTCACGGCTTCTTTTCCCATTTCTTCCCCCTTCAGCTCTGGATGTCCTTCCCACAGCTTCCTCACTTGCTGCTCCACCATCCCACTTTCCTGCGCTTGCTTGTCTGCCTTTAGTACACGTGCCCGTGCCCCCACCTTCTCGTCTTTTCCTCCTGCTTCTGCGGCTGCTGGTGCGCACGCCCATGCCCCCTTTTTCTTGGCTTTCCCTTCTGCTACCGCTGCTGCCACTACACGCGCCTTTGCCCCCACCTTCTCTTCTTTCCCTTCCTCTTCTGCTGCTGCTGCTACACACGCCTGTGCCCCCACCTTCTCTTCTTTCCCTTCCTCTTCCGCTGCTGCTGCTACACACGCCTGTGCCCCCACCTTCTCTTCTTTCCCTTCCTCTTCCGCTGCTGCTGCTACACACGCCTGTGCCCCCACCTTCTCTTCTTTCCCTTCCTCTTCCGCTGCTGCCACCACACATGCCCGTGCCTCCACCCCTTCATCCACCACTTCCGCTTCTGCTGCTGCTGGTACACATGCTCTTGCCCCCACCTGCTCATCCTTTTCCTCTGCTTCCGCTGGTGCTGGTACACACGCTCCTGCCCCCACTTTCTCATCCTTCTCCTCTTCTTCCGCTGCTGCTGGCGTTACTAACATGCACGCCCATGCCCCCACCTTACTCACTTGCTTCCTTCGCACGTTCCTGCCCCCACTGTGCAGCCGCATGTCCGCATGTCCGCATGGCCACGCAGCGCCGCACAGGAGCGTTCCGGCTCCTGCTCCTCTTCCTCCTCCTCGTACAACCCCGCTTGCCCCTGACTTCTTTCTCCCAGCGCCTGCAGTTGGGCTCGTAACTGTTTGATCTGTTCCTCAATCTCCTCGGGTGATCTCCCTGCCTCCCTTACTTTCTCATAGCAGTTCCTTGCCTGATGCCCCTTTTTCCCACCTTTCTCATAGCTCGGTACATCTGGGCAGTCCCTTCGGCGGTGCCCAGGCTTTCTGCACACATCACAGTTCTTGCACTCCCTCCTGATATGCCCTTCCTGCCCGCACCTGTGGCACGTCCGTGTTTCTGCTTGCCACTCCTGCCACTGTTCCTCCTCACCCCCGTCCTCGGTTATCATCGCTGCAGCCCACCTGGGCCGCCCTTCCTCTGACACCCTTGGCAGGTACGCCTCGTACCGCCTCTGCGCCAGCTCCACTCTCTCTGCCAATTCAAACACCTCCTCTAGCGTTGCTTCCGCTCCCAACTCATACACTCTCATTCTCAGTCCCCCACTCAGTCCTTCATCTAACCCCCCCAGAAACTTGCTAATTAACATGCTGCTGTCCGTGCAGGCCACATCCTCAGCTAGATTGGCGAGCCTCCCAAAGTATGTGAGTAACGACTCCACCTTACCCCGCCTAAACTCCTGAAACTCTCGGATACGGTCGGCCGTGTGGCCCGGGAACTGTTTTCTCAGTCGCTCAAGGAACAGCGTCGTGGGATCATCTCCATCTTCCTCTGCCCGTCTCAGCCACTCCGGCATCTTCATTCGGTACAGCGTTTCAGCTTCGCCCCCCAACGTATTCGGCAGGCTTAAGAAAAACTCTTTCGGGTCCATCCCGCTTCTATCGCAGCGGTACTTCACAATTGCGATCTGCATCAGGTAATTCTTTAGGTTGGTTCCGGAACCTGCTCCCCCCGTAAAGCGCACCGGCACCTCCACCTGAGGTGGGGCCTGCACATTCCACCTCCCCGTCTCCCAAGACCCTGAGATCTCATTCCTTCTGCTACTCTCTTCTCTCCTCTCCCTCGACTCCCTGCTCTTCGACGCTGTCCCATACAGTACTTGATAGATTCCTTCTCTGGCTGCCCTTGCTCCCCCAGCGCCTGCCCATGACTGCTGCTGCCTTCTCGGCCATGTCGGACTTGAGCTCCTTCCCCCTTCTCTCTCTTGAGCTTCCCCATATCTCTTCGATCCCCACCCTGATCTCTCCCTCTTTTCGGGGTAATATTCTTCCCAGCGCCCCTCCCTACGGCCCGACCCGTGGCGTGCAGGTCGGTCACGCTCTCCTTCCTCGTTCTCTGAGTCATTCGCAGGCATCATCTCCCGTCGCCTACTCTGCTTCTCTCCTCTCCGTTTTTGCACCTTGTCGTCTTGCTTCTCCCTCACCTCCACATTGTACTCCCTACGCCCCTCTTGCCTTCCCGTATACTCCTCCTTTCCTCCACCGGATGGTTTCTTCTCGCGCCGCTCCTGCTTCCTGCGTCGGCACCGCTCCAGATTATACCCATCGTCCTCCTCTTCGCTATAGTCATGTTCCTTCTCTTCACGCAGCTCCTCACCACTCCTTCTCGTCTTCTCTCTCCCCTCCTTCCTCTCAAGGGACTCTCCTTCATCGCGTCTCCCTCGTCCGCCTGCTCCTCGGCGCCCATGATCCTCTCTTCTTCTTCCTTTGTCACTTCCCGGGTCCTTCCCAGGGGACACTCGCCGGCAGCGCTCTTCCTCACTCTTTGTCCTGTTTATCTTTCTCTCCTGCCTCCCCCTTGCCTCTCCGACAGGTTCCTGCACCAACCCTGCTCCCGCGCACGGATACTCTTCTATTTCTTCACGGCGCGCTCTCGCACCTGCACCCGTGACGTACTGCGATGAACACTCACTGCCCTTGACACGTGCTTCCCTCTCCTCCGTCCGCTGCCATGCAGGCGAGCGCTGCGCGCGCCTCCTATCGCGGTCGTCCTCACTTTCCTCTCCCCCCTGCTCTGGTGATTGCCATCCGCCCAATGCCATGCGCCTCCTGCGCTCATGTCCGCGTCTCGGCTCAGGCGAGCCATACACTCCCGTCCCGCCTGCACGTCTCGCCTCCTTTCTTCCTCACGGCTGGCTTCTGGCGCGCGCTTAGCCTCCTTGCCTTCGCCGTGCCTTGCATTACTTCTGCGCAGCCTGGCTGGCGAGCGATCTGCATCTGCACCCCCGCGGCGCCTCGCATCATTCTCAGGCATTTCGCCCGCCGAACCGCCCGCATCCGCGCTCCCCTGGCGCCTCGCGCCATTCCCGCTCATTTCGCCTGTCGAACCTGCTGCAACCACGCTTCCGTGGCGCCTCGCGTCATTCTCAGGCATTTCGCCCGCCGAACCGTCAGCATCCGCGCTTCCACGGCGCCTCGCATCATTCCCACGTATTTCACCCGTCGAACCAGCTGCATCCGCGCTCTCGCGGCACCTCGAGCCATTCCCGCGCATTTCGCCAGCAGAACGATCCGCATCCGCACTCCCGCGGCGACCTGCGCTACTCCCACGCACTTCGTCTGTCGAGCGGCTTGATCCCGTCGCCCTTCCGCGCTCTTCGCGTTTCTCTCCATGGCGCCTCTCGCCTCCCTCGTGCATGTCGTCCGGCGAGCGATCTGCTCCCGCGTCCTTTGGATCATCCTCCGTCGTCTCCTCGCCGTCGGCCTCGTTTGCCAACATCAGCCATCCCGTTTCGTCGGCATCTTCATGATGCCCTTCACCCGCGCCCCGCTGGCCTCTTGCCAGATCCCAGTGACCGCTTCTTGACGGCTGAGGCCTCGTCGCCAATCTCATCTGCAGATCGGTCTCACCTCCATCGCGCCGTCCGTCACCTGCTGCCATCCGATCCGCCCGATCCGCCTCTCTCTTAGGCGAGCGATCTGGCGATCGTTCCCGCTCCTGTGAGCGCATCCGTCGCGACGGCGGAATTTCCCTGACGCGAATACGTTCGCTGCCAGCGCAGCTCGTGGCAGTCCATACTGCCAATTCTTTCTCTCGTTTGTGAGAGATTCTGGCTCCCACACAATGGCTGCCCTCAGTGGCCTAGTCACCTAGCTGCTGTAGCGTTAGAACGGCAACGTAAACCCACTATTTTAGGCAAACAAACGAGAGAACGAACTAAGCAGTGAGTTCCTAGTCTATTTGAATCTCTACCCCGTGCCGCGCAGTTTCCCGTAACTCACATTGGGCTCCGCCCGCTAGGCTTTAGGATTGGCCTTTCAGATTGCCCAGGGCTCGCCCTTGAATTTGTCCCACCCTACGCCTCGCAAGTCCCTGAATCACCACTTTGCGGTCAATCCCCACGCCCCAAACTCACCTTCTACAGTACTTCGAATAACCCAACTACACCTACACTAGCAAGTAACTGAATCTATTGCAAACAACAATACATTCTGTGACACATGACCCATAGTTTAGCTGCACATCCATCACTGCAAACCCCATCACAACCAGCACTGCTCCCCACCCCTTGAACTATATTCTTAAGTTCCCTACCATCACCACCTCACCGCGAATCCCAGCAGGTCTGGCACCGGGCCCCCTGAGAGAGTTCCTACCTAGACTCTCCAGCATCTCACGGTCTCACCTTGCCAGCCATGAGCCATCGCTCCCTGCCATCGTCCATGCGCCATGCCCCGTAATTCGGCATCACGTCCATCACCGCAAACCCCAGCAGGTCCGGCACTGGTCCTCCTGTCACTCCCTGCTTCACCAGCGCGGCTGCCAGGTCCAGAGCTGCCGTGTGGAAGAGCACAGGGATGGGTTAAAGAGTTATGAGCTGTTGAAGAGGTAAGCGTTGGAGAAATATGAGCTGTTGAGCCTCATATCTCTGAGGGCGCTGTTGAGCTGTGTTTCATACGCCTGCCTCTCACTTACTCCCTGCGTCACCAGCGCTGCTGCCAGGTCCAGAGCTGCCGTTTGAAAGAAAAGAAGGCTGGTTTGAGTTGCATCAACTAAAGACTGGGAGCGAGGGGAGATGTGGGCAAGGTGGGATGTGGGCGAGGTGGGATGTGGGCGAGGTGGGATGTGGGCGAGGTGGGATGTGGGCGAGGTGGGATGTGGGCGAGGTGGGATGTGGGCGAGGTGGGATGTGGGCGAGGTGGGATGTGGGCAAGGTGGGATGGGAGAAGCGTATTATCGGGTAGGGCAGAAAGAAAGAAAGGAGGGTTACCTGCGAGAGTGAAGGGGAAGCTTCCCAGTGGTTGCTCGATCTGAAAGCACAGCAGGTGCAGAGGGCTCGTGGCAGGGCCTGATTGGCTGGGAGCAGATGAGGGGGTGGGGGGGAGGGGAGTGGTTACGGAGGGAGAGAGCAACGAGAGGGGAATGT